GAAGTAAAAGCAGCAAATAAATACATGAAAAAATGTTCAACATCACTGGTCATTTGAGAGATGCAGATGATAACAACACTGAGATTCCACCTCACCCCACAAAGAATTGCTGCTATCAAGAAATCAACCAATAACAAATGCTGGCAGTGGTGTGGGGAGAAAGGAACCCTTCTCCATTGTTGGTGGGAGTGCAGACTGGTGAAACCACTGTGGAAATTAGTATGGAGATACCTCAGAGACCTAGGGCTAGAGGTCCCATTTGACCCAGCTGTTCCCCTGCTGGCTATCTTCACCATAGAATTAAAAGAATCATACCACAGGGATATATGTTTATAGTGGCACAGTTTGTAATAGCTAAAGCTTGGAAACAGCCCAAATGCCCATCAACTGGAAACTGGATAAAGAAGAAGTGGTTTTTTTATAAAATGGAGTGCTACTCAGCAGTAAAAAACAAGAAACTAGAGACATTTATAGCTAAATGGATGCATATTGAGGCCATACTCTTCGGTGAAATAAATAGGACACACGTGTAAATACTGAATAGTTTCTCTAGCATGAGAAACTGAAAGTGTAAATAAAGATTAAAATGGTTAAAACAAATAATTGATAATTTGAAATATTAAAAGGTCCAAAAGGGTAGGGTTGATGGGAGGGGAAGGGGAAAGGAAAGAAGAGAAAGGAACAATTATGAGAAAAGAAAAAAATGGAAACGAAATCAATGTAAATAGGGAAGGGTGGAGGGGGTGACGGGTGCACAGGTAATGGGGAAGAAAATAGAACCAAGGTACATCATGCACCCAATGATAAATGTAAATGTATTGTATACCTAAAATGTACCAGAACAGAATTTTTTTTAAAACTCCAAGCAAATCATTTTGTGGGTATTAACGAGCTGATTTAAAATTTTGTATTTCACCCAAAATACCCAACACAATATTGAAAGAAAAGAAAAAAGAGGATTGACATTACCCCACTTCAAGACTTACTATAAAGCTACAGTAATCAATAGAGTATGGTATTAGCAGAGAATAGAAAAATGGACCCATGGAACAGAATAGCCAGAAAAAGACCCACACAAATATAATCAACTGATCCTTGATAAAAGAGCAACATCAATACAGTGGAATTTATCAGCAGTCCTTTTGACAAATGGTAATGGAACAAATGAATATCCATATGCAAAAAGGCAAATTTACACAGAACTTACACCCTTCACCAATAAGTAAATACAGTAATAATTCACCCACTCAAGCAAGACCATAGACTTAAACTTAAAATGCAAAACTATAAAACTCCTAGAAGATAACATAAAAGAAAACCTGGATGACCCTGAGTATAGGTAGTGGTTAGATAGGAAATGCTTTCCTTTCAATTTTGCTGTAAACCTAAAACTGCTCTAAAAAAATAAAGTCTTTAATTTTAAGAAATATATAAATTAATAAAGGGACAGAGATCCAGTTCTAGAACAGCAGGTTCCTCACCCACTCTTCAGTGAAAAAAAACAAAACTAATAAAATTATACCTTTTAAAAACACCAATTCAGAGTCTCTAGAAACTATTCTAAACTCCTACATCAAATGAAGAGCCATTCATTCAAAAACACAAAGAAAAGGGAGGGGTTTGAGGCACTGAAGCTGTGAGTTACTCCCTCCCTTCACCCCAGTTCAACAGGAGGACACTCGGGGAGGGAGCAGCCAGACACCAGGACAGTCCTCTCAGCTCCCACTCAAGGGTAATGGCATCACCCAGATGAGGAGAAGCCACCAACAGACCTATCCACCTTTTTGGAGTTGCAGAGGCTAAATTCCAAGCAAGTGCAGCCATGAGGCCCAGGAACTCAGCTTCCTCCCCCTAACCATAAGGCAAAGGCTCCTCCTCAGGTTTAGCAGAATAAAGGAGCCCTGTTACCCCTGCCCCACTTCTTCACAGGGCCAGGTTCCCCTTGAGAACTCACCTAAGGCCACTGCCTCACCCAGCACCTGACACAGATAGTAGCTGTCTCACTGTAAGAGCAAAGTTGCTATTGCCAACCAGTGCTTCAGGCCAGGGACTCAGAATGCTTTCCCTGCAGAGAAGGTGGCCACAAAACAGGGAGCTCTGAAACCTCCCACGTAAATGGTCTTGTTCAGAATAAAATGTGGGCAAGTTCAAGGCTAAATGGAGATCTGGATGGTGAGCGGTTCAAAGGAAGTTAATAGCTTGACAAAAACAAGCCCAACCACAGGTCAGCTGGATTACCTGAGAGAGCTAATGAACAAGAGGGCAAGAAGGAACCTCCTGAGGTGAAAACGAAAGAGAAAGAAAGGGAAAGATAAAGAGTAAGAGAAATGTTTCAGAGTTACAGTTAAAAGTGGCAGATGGGACACACATTTACTTTCTCTCTCAAACCCTCACTCAAATAACTCTTTTAAGGCAAAAAGCTGACAGGGATGACAATAGAAGAGGAGGTCACTGTGGAAGCCAGTCAGCAGAATGACTTTAAACTTTTCAACAGTAACAGGAAAGTTAGATGGAACAGAACGAGGTCTTCATGATTATAAAGGAAAATTATATTCATCCTAAAATGCTACATTGTGTCCAACTTTGATCAAGTTTAAGAGTAGAATAAAGGTATTTTTAGTTTTGCAAGTTTCAAAAAACTCCTGTTGATATGCCCATTTCTTAGGAACCTACTGGAGACTTTACTCCACCAAAGTCGAATATATCAAGAAAGAAAAAAAGCCTGTGATAAAATAAACAGGAGCTCTAACCTAGCACAGGAAGCAAAGGGAATCTCCAGAATGGTGGTGGTGAGATTCTTGTTTTTGGTACCAGGGATCGAACTTGGGATATTGCACTTACTAGGCAGGAAGCAGAACCACTGAGCTAAGTCTCCAGCCCCAGAGCCTTTTGCCAAGGGCAAAAGAAGAGAAACCCTGAAGGATTCAGCCAAGGAAGCTATTTTTAAACTCTGGCTAAGAGTCTGTCAACATAAAATAATGATTCTGCTTTACAGGAAATAAGAAAATAGTTCATTCTGAGTTAAGCATGAGTGACCATGGCCAGAGAACACAGATTCAAATTACCCTGAATTACCTGCTGCACCATGGAAGAGGCTACATGAGCTTTACAGTCACAGAACCAAAAAGCAGGAATCAATACATTTACAGATTACACTGGTGGAGGCACTCAGAGGCTGGGCAGGGAAATCTTTTCTGTAATTTTCAGCTGTGGTTGCATTCTTAGCTTTAGGGTGGTAGAGGCTGGAGGTCCAGTAAGCCTGGAGACAGGTTGCAAGAGGTTTCCCTGACAAGCTCAAAATGTTAGGTCGGTTACAAAAGTTAAGGTAAATGGTCATTAAAGCACCTAAGATAAAGCAAGGTAATTTTGGCTCTCGACCTAATATTTCATCTCTCCAAAATTGTAATTTTTTATAGCCAGCCAAGGTCAAATGATCTACAGGACCTTTATTACAGACCTTTAATACTGAACTTTTTTCAGTTCACAAGTCCCCCTGATCTCAAAATAAAAGCTTTGCTCCACTCTTATTCTGAAGTGAAATCAGTGTTCCAGCTGCTGCCACACGTTGGGCCTCAGCACCCTGGTGAGAATGCCAAGAAGACAGTTTTGTGTCCAGTGAAGCCAGTCATCACTACAAAGCTGATTTTTGTTTCTGGTTCCATTTTTGTTTTGTTGGCAGCACTGGAGATTCAATCCAGGGCCTTTGTACTAATCTACATGCCTGACCTTTTATTTTTATTGTAAGACAGGATCTCACTAAGTCTTCCAATTGCCCAGGCTAGGCTAAGACTTTGAATCCTCCTGCCTCAGCCTCTCAGGCTGAGATCATTACAGGTGTGAACCACCACATCTGCTTACAAAGCTCATTTCTGAAAAGGGGAACAAATGGGCTGGCTGCTTCCCAAAGGAAGGAGTAGGAAATGACCTGGGTCGTCCTGCTGCTCTGCTGAGCCTGCAGGTCAGGTCTGGAAGGTCCCTCCTGCTGGAGAGTTAAGGCTGCGTTTATCTGCGAGTTTAAATCCCTGGAAGCTCTGCGAGTTGTGCCTCTACTCTCCTCTCTGGAGCCACTGTGTAACCTAATCAAGACCCTCATCTGGTTCTTGAGCTCAGCTGACCCGTGTGGGTAGGCTATTCTGGGGAGCAAGAAGTTGTTTACGTTCTTCATTTCTGAAAAGTCACGGGCCACCAGCAACTTAAGAAACGAAAGTAAAATCAGCTGATAGTGACATCAGCACAAATATACCAAAGTTCAGAGCTGTTTACTCAGACACAACTGTGAATGCAAGCAGGACATCAGGAGTGTGTCTGCCGAGATTCCTCGCCACTGCCCTCATTCCTGGAACCTAACTTTAGAAAGCCAGCAAGAAGCACGACTCACCGCCCAGACCTGACTGCCTGCTCCACCGTTTCATGAGTGTTCCTGTGGGCTCTGCACCTTCTTTTTGTAAGTACCTCTCCCCCAGGTGCCTCAGTTGGCCCAGATGCCCACCACCTCCTAAGACAATGCTGTTCCCCTAGAGAGTTCTCAATCTAGCATTAGGCACAGGGGAGAAAATCAGTGCTGGGGTGTGTGACCTTCCTCCCGGTCTCTTCTCCGTGTGATCAACCCACTGTCTTCTGCTCGCCTTTCCTCCACTCTTCAGCATTTCATGTGGCTCTCTGCCTCCAAAATGAGAAAGGTAATACTAGTAGAATCGACTAGAATCACACACACTAACTGCATGGGGCAAAGTCTTGCACGTCTGTACAAATAAATGTTTGTGCCTTTGGGAACACAATGTCCATCAGAAATATGCAGCCAGACGAAAGCAGGTCACCGATCAGCCGCGGTGAGACTGTTACTCGAAGGTAGTTACAAAAACACCATGGGGCCTTCAGGTGCACACTGAAGACCAGGAGGATCTGCGGTTTTGACTCAAGCAATACAACAGGATCTAAGAGATTCTTAGGGCAGCCTGCTTTAGGTGATACTGTTTCTCATGCCCTGATGGAAATCCATGATGGGATTTTAGTTCTCTTGGTGCAGATCTTAAGACTTGTATAAATGTGGGCTGTTTTACTAATAATTTAATAACTTCCATTCTGCTTTTTAACCTGTAAAAATCAGAAAGTTCATTAAGAGGGAAATGTATATTTCTTTCCTTCTTCCTTCATGACAAATGAAGTACATTTTAGTATCATCTTTTTACACCTCTGTCCTCCAAAATCTCATTTCTGAGATTTAGTTGGTGTGACATTCTTTTTTTCAATTTGAGACATTTTCCCTTCTCTCAACTTTCTCTCCATCTTGGTCCCTGCTTTATCTAATTACAAAGATTGTGATTGTCTGTTTTATAAATTTCACTTTTTCATAGCAATAGCATGTAATTCTGGGAATATTTTAGTGGAAAAAGAGAAGAAACAAACAATTGCTTATAATGCCACCGCCCAGAAATGCCACAGCTAGCATCAAATTTCAAAATAATTCTTTAGTCTCTTTTTTCTGTGAATTTTCATATTACAGTGTAGTTTTATACCTGCTTTTCCTAAAAGCTGCAGTGTTTTGTTATCTTGATGTGTCATCATTTACTTCTTAAATGGGAAATTCAAGTTGTTTCCCACTTTATACCAAAATAATACTGTGATGAACATTTCTATATATAAATTGTTGGTTTCATTTCTAATTTTGCCTAAGGATAAATTCATAAAAGTGAGATTACTAAGCCAAAAAGATATGACTGTTGAGGCAGGTATTTAATGCATATTGCCAAAGTACCACCCAGAAAATTTGCAAAAATTTCAATCACTGTGAGAAATCCAGTTTTGCCACTCTTGGTATCATCAAGTATTTTTTATCTACAGATTTGATAGGAAATGCGTAGGTTTTATTCTTGAGACGTCTTTGAATGCATTAGGAAAAGTATGGATTGTTTTTCATGACTAACCACTTTTCATTCTTTCTTTTGTTAATTTTTAGGCCTATTTTTAATGGAGTTTAATGTTTTAACTGTTTGCATGAATATTTTACACATCAGGTGTATTAGTCATTTCATATTTATTAGACATATTTTTCCATGCTCACTGACTTCATTTGTGTTTTGTATGAGTATAGAAATCTACATTTTTTGTTTTGGTACCAGAGATCAAACTTGGGCCCTTGTGCTTTTGAGGTAGGCAGCAGAACCACTGAGCTAAATCTTCGGCCCGTAGAAGTCTACATTTTATTAAACAGTGAAATCTGTATAATTTTTATTTGCCTTTAAGTTCAAAATATTCTTTCTCATTCTTCAACCAGATAGTTATTTTTTCTAGATTTTTTATGTTTGTTTTTCAGCCATTGTGAAATTATTTCAGTATGTGGAATAAGGTGAGGACCTAAAATGGTTTTTATTTTGTTTTTCTCCTTTTTCAATTAAACTCATCAATTTCTGGGGCATTAGCTAATGAGAAACTCTTACAGGTCTCAAACCAAATGTCTTTCTGCAAAGAGATCTTCCCTGACCCTTTAATCTGGAATCATTGCATTTTTTTGCCAGTTTCGCTTCCGTGCTTCACTGTTTATTTCCTTTCCAAAGCTTTTCAAAATTCATAATTACCTTTTTTCAGTGAGTTTAGCGTCTGGCTCCTAAGAAGCTTGCGAGCTCAGTCAAGGTGACATCTGTTTGCCCAGGGTGTCTCCACCTAATGCAGGGCCCCTGGTTCAAGGGGTTTCCCCCAAATGGGCCTTGGTGGGGTGACAGGTGAGACTCTGGCCTGCACAGTAGGAGAAGGTGATGAGTCAGCAGAACTGCTGGAGAGGTCTGATGTAGAAGCAGCCCTGGCTTCTGGCACCATTGATTCTCCAACTGCTTTGGGCATGGTGAATCTTAGCCTCCCATGATCGGGCTGGTGGAGGTAGCCAATACAACCCTAAACAGGCAGCAGCCCCCAGGTGACAGTCATTGTCCCATTTCTAGAGAATATTTTTTATCCTTTGCAATTTATTTCTTCTTCTTTTTTTTTTTTTTCCTGTACTGGGAATCAAACTCAGGACCTTGTGCTTGCCAGGCAGGTGAGGCACCGCTGAGCTAAATCCCTGGCCCCCTTGCAATTTCTTATAACTTTTTTTCTCAGCTTGAGTGATCTGCTAGAGAAATAAACACTAATAACAAAACAACTGAACAGGTGGCGTGCCAATATTAACAGACCAGCTAAGCAGCTATTTCAATGGCCAGTCACCCACGTAGGGTCCTAAACCCACACTTCTGACTTTATATCCCAATCTGGTGGTGTCATTCTGTTTCTGCTGCTAAGCAGTTTTTATTTGCCTGGGAGAATTAAGTGTATCTAAACACTGCAATGTCCATAACACGCTTAGCGATAGGCAGGGGCACTACTGAGCACATTGGGCAGTCCAGGGAGCCCCTGCCAACTCACACACCCAAGAAACACTGTTGAAGACTTAGAACCTGGATTCCTTATTTCTGCTAAAGGAAATATGACACATTTCCCTTTCTTCTTCCTTTTTTATTTTTGTGAGAGCCACACCCAGACCATGAATACACTTAATCTTAAATGTGTTCAGCCAGACTGAAGCCAGGGCTGGTGGCCTCTGGGGACAAGTAAACGTCTCTCCTGGCTCCCGTCAGAGCCTATTGTTCTGACTTCTGCTAACATTTTCTTCCCTGAGCGTCTCCCTCCACTTGTGCTACACACCCACCCCTCTGTCTCTATGCCACTTTCACCTCGGTTCCCTTTTTATCCCCTGAATCACTGCTTCCTCATCATGACCAGGGCAGATATGTGCTACTCAGCATGACCCAGTTTTTGCAGGTATTAACTTGTGTCCATCTCACAACAGAACATGACAGGTGGCACACTAGAGGCAATGTGGGGCACAGGGTGTGACATAACATGCCCAAGGCCACAAGACCCAGAGTGACAGGACAGACTGAAAGAGGTGAGGGAAGGAGACATGTGACTAATTGAAAAGTCTTCCAGATAAAGGGATGGCGAGTACCAAGGTCCTGAGCTTACCTATGGTTTGGGGAAAATACAAGAAGCCATTGCGGTATCAGCTGAGTATTCCTAAAGAAGCAGGGAGGACTGTCAGTGTTGCCCAAGAATAGAGGCTGGGTAGCAGCAACCCTTCCTGGTACCTGGCTCTAGACCTAAGGGAATACCTGCTTGGCTGAAAACAGATATCACTCACTGGGGGAGGAATCCACATGTTCCCAAATAGTCCCCGGAACTGCAGGGGACATTTTCTGCTGACACCCCATTCCTCTCTGCTGGGACATTAAGGATTTATGGAGCACTTAGCAGAGGGCATGGAATTTCCACTTCAGGGTGCTCTGCAGGGTCCTTGAAATATAAGTGCAGAGGCATAGAGGTGGTGAGCTCAGGTAAATTTGGGGAAACTAAGCAAGCCCAGCTTGATAAAGTCTGCTTCCTGAATACCATTAGAAATTCAGGTAAGAAGAGAGAATCAGAAGACAACACGGAATGAGGGGGATTTGGTTTGTTTTTATGTAAGATGAAGTAGAGGAATGTTGTTGGGATGCTAAACATTGGAGTAAGAATATACTAACTAAAGCCATGATTAGGAGAGTGACAATTAGAAGTTAGAGCTAGGCTTGGTGACAGATGCCTATAATCCTAGTACTCCAGGAGGCTGAGGCAGGAGGATCATAAATTCAAGCCTAGCCTGCACAATTTAGCAACTTAGCAAGATCCTATTTCAAAATAAAACATGTTTTTAATAAAAGGAGCCTGAGCATGTAGCTTAGTGCGATGGTCTGAGTTCAATCCCCAGTATCACAAAAGAAATTAGAATTTTTAAATAAGCATATGATCAACAGAGTTATAGAATGTTTAGCTAATCAGTGTTTTAGAATGAAGTGAAAAAGACCCAGTTGTGCCTGAGGATGGAGGTCGGAACGTTGAACCTCCCTCTATGGACGAGAGCACCGTGTACTGAGGGTGGCTGGTGAATTTCATCTTGATTCTTCAACTCAAGCAAGGGAGGGGTGCTTTGGCATCTTAAGCCGGCAAGCAGCCCTTCCCAGTGCCCCTCACAGGCAGGCGTGGTCACAGTCAGTGCCAGGACGGCACCAGGCCTGTGATTTGCTTACCGCATCTCCACATCTCCGTCTGGTGTCCAGGTGCACAGGCTGGAGACACCCTGTCAGCCTGCAGCCCGCCAGGGGGGTATTTAATGCAACCGGCTGTGGGACCCTAACTGCCCCTCAGCCACACTCTCAGGAAAGGTTCCCTCTGAACGTGAGCCTGACAAGAACGTAATTTAGAATTAAGTGATACAGTGTTCCTCATTCAGCCACTCCCAGAGTCTTTTATTAGGCTCATCACCAAAGGAAGAGGCTTGAGCAATCAAATAAATAAAAGGCTGCCTCCAACTAATCTTCTGACGATTACCTGCCTTCCATTCCCTCACTGGGCACTTGCTCCCCTTGGAGCAGAATCTTCTCTCTCTTCAGGCCATGTCACCCCATACCTGGCAGTGACCATGGCCAAATGTACACACGGACCTGGAGTCTCAACTTGTGTCTCGGTCCAGGGGCCTCCTGTGCAGAAAAAGAATTCTGCTTTACTCTGACAATTATACAGCCTTTATTACAAAGGACTCACACAGACTGATGAAAACTAAAACTCAAAATGGGTTGTTTTTTTTTAAAGAAAAAAAGACCTATAGCATTTCACAAGGTAAGAAGTATAGATGGTTGTCAAACACATGAAACTGTTAAACTACTATACTAACTCTGAAAGGAAATAGTAACAATGACTCATCGGCTGTCACCAAAAGACTTAGGAATATGCAGTGTTACAGAGGACACGTTATCTCATCCTTTACACATTCTCAAGTAAAATGTCTCAGGCCTAAAGTCCTAGCTACTCTGGACACTGAGGCAGGAGGATGGCTTGAGGCCAGGAGTTTAAGACCAGCTTGGGCAACATAGTGAGAGCCAGTCTCTAAAAGAAAAGCTGGAGGTAAAAAGAGAGACATTCTCTTCAACTGCTATGGAAGGATAAACTGATTCACAGACATATTCACTGTAGCATTATTTATAATATTATTAAATAATGTTATAAAACATAATCTATAAAAACTATAAACTATGATGTGGCTATATGAAGCCCTTAGTGAGACTCTTTTTTTTTTTTTTTTGGTACCAGGGATCGAACTCAGGTCCTTGTGCTTGCGAGGCAGGCAGCGAAACCACTGAGCTAAATCCCCGGCCCATGAAGCCCTTAAATACATCATTTAGGAAACATTTCTAATGACATACAGAAATGTTTATGCTACAATGATGTTCACAAAGTGAAACGCAAACATATTTATATGATCCCAGCTACCCTCTTTACCTGAAAATAAGACCTGTCTAGAAAACAGTCAGTCTTGAAAACTAGAGTTGAGGAACACCAGCCTCATCAGCCTATCCCTGCCTTTCCTGCCATTGCTATTCGTTTGCAGGGTGGCTACTCTGTGAGGCAGGCAAGGCAGGCGAGGGGTTGGCATTTTTCATCTCTAGTTTTCAAGGTTGATTATTTTCCAGCTAGGTCTTATTTTAGGGGAAACACTAGGTATGCAAAACAACATTATAGAAGGAAATCTGCTAAAAGAATGGTTATTTCTATGATCAAAAGTTGTAGATGATTTTTGGTCTTTTCTGTAAAAGTCTTTTATTCACATATTTTTCTAGTTTTCTGTAATCGCCATGTATTACTTTATTATAAACAGGAAAATGTTCATCTAAAAATGGCCACAGTGACTCAGAGGGCTCCCCTTTTGCCCTCTGCAGGAAGCCAGGATTATCATTAAAGGGAATGTAAAAGCTCATTGTGGTGAGAACATGATTGCCAGGACTGTTAAAAACCAAAACTACAGGGCAGGTTCTTGGGGCAGTGAGTTGCGAGGTTTCCAACCAAGTATCAGATACTGTCCCTGCAAAATGCCCAGGGAAGAAGGGAGGACTGGTCCCCAACTCTCCCACCCAAGGTGGTGGAGTCTGTCCACGTCACCCGCAGGAGGCAGCCAAGCAGAGCAGCGTGGAGGGCAAAGGAGCTGGGCCTCCGCAGAGGGCTACGAGTCCAGGTCTCAGCTGCACCGACGGTGGAGAAGATCAAGCACCAGTCACAGGAGCTGGGACTCAGTTCTGTGTGCAGATGAAGAGAAAAGGGGAAGCAGAGACTCTCCTTTCTCCACAAACCTTGTCTTCCACTTCTTGGCTCCAGTTTTATTTTGCTTCAGTCCATTCAAAACCTCCAAAATATCAGTTGAGAGAAAATGAGGAAATCAAAAACAAAGGCTCCCAGCACCCGGCTAGGAGCTGCAGCAGGACATGGTGGATGAAATCTCACCTCCCGGGAGCCCGTGTTCACTTTTTTACAGTCGAGCTCTGTCTTGAAGCCAAAAAATATTTGATCACAATGATTTTGTGAACCACGGGATAAACAAGAGGGATCATTTAAACAAGCACCCAACGCCCACCCTGGGTGGTTCCCGGTCACTGTGAGCAAGACAGGCCCCATTTCCTACAGCACAGTGTGAAATGGGATGTCCACCTTAGCGATCTATGCCACATCCTAAAATGCCCAAACCTTTAAAAATGCAAGCATAGGTTTTTACAAAACTTGTTTAAATTGTAAAATCATACAAAATATATTGGGGATTCTTCCATACCATACCATCTAATAACCAGTAACTAAAGCCACTTTTTAGTCTTGATAGACCCTTTTGTCACAAGAGTCATTGCTTCAAGGGTTTCCAACTCCATTCAAACAAGGGTCTTCTTCCTCTTGGGCCTCAAAGCCTTTACCCAGTAAACGCCCCCGAGGGCCAGCTGCCAAGGCTTGCCCTGAGACAGCCTCTGCTGCGCTTCTCAGGGTGGGGGAAGCCACTGCAGGGGCCAGGTCTAGGCCGCACATTTCAGGACCTCGTTGTCTGAACAGGCACCTGCTCACTGCCAGCCGTCACACCCAAGCCTCTGCCAAGACTGCTGAGAAGTCTCAGTTCTTGTGCCTGGCACAGATTTGGGCCCGTGAATGGAGCCTCTCTCTCCTCTTTTCTCTCCCTCCCTCCCTCTCTCATCCTGACCCCTTTCTTTCCACTTGGTCCCTTTCTTTTCTGGTACCGGGGATCGAACTTGGGACCTTGCTCGAGGCAGGCATCGAAACCACTGAGTTAAATCCCCGGCCCTCCACTTGGCCCCTTTCTCTTCTGCAACTTGAATGGACTGTCTGGAGTCTGGCAGACCCTCCAGCCAGCTGGGGGAAAGCAGGCTGTTCATGGAGGTCCCCTGAGAAGCTGGTCCACAGCATCCCCACCAGGGCCACCACTTCACTGTTGAGACCCACCTGATGTCCCAGGCCGAGGCTCACAGGATACTGCTCGGAGTCTGCAGCCCAGGGCCTGTGCCTCATAAGGTTTGAGTTCTGGGTTCTTTGCCATCATCTGTGTGAATGGCTCTTTTATTCCTACTGGAAAACATACACAGATAAAGGTACAGTGTGCACACTACTGTTTTAGAGGCCAATTTGAGAAAAATCCTTCTGAATAAAAAAGTAAAAAATTTTTAAAAATAAGAATGTAATAAACCAGGCACTTTCCTATATACCCAGAAGATCTTCAATTAGCAAGTTTTCTGTAGGTCAGTTTGGCAATGTGCAATGCGAAGCACACTACCCTTGACCCAGAGACTGATTTTAGATTTCTAACCTCTGGAAAAATCACATTCCAGACAGGCAGGCAACTTCACTATGGCAAGAGTGGAAAATGGAAACAATCTGTCAGCTAATAGTGCAATGGCTACAACAGGAAATATTATGCAAGTGCTAAGCAAGCTTTTGAAGAATATTTAACAGCTTTGAAAAATGCTTACAATATTCAGTGAAAACAGCATTATGTTCAATACTATGATTATCTGAAAATATATCAGCACATAAGAAAAATATTGGTGGAATACTCACAGTGGTTCCATGTGCAGGGTGAGAGAAAAGGTGATTTTTATTTTGCGGCTCTGTGGATGGAACCCAGGGCCTCACACACGTAGGCAAGGCCTGTACCACTGAGCCACCCTGCTAGCCCTTTTAGTTTGAAACGGGGTCTCACTAAATTGCCCAGCTGGCCTTGAACCTATGATCCTCCTGCCTCAGCATCCTGAGCAGCTGGAGTTGCAGGCATTCACCACCACACTGAGCTTAAAAATAGCTCCTATATTACATATTAAGCAGAATTATTATTAGAAAAAATTAGAGACATTTTAAAAGCAGTGAGTGCTATTGTGTGATTTCATCCCAGGTGACAACCTGTTTGCCCTGTAAGGAGCCCCAGAGAGCCGGGTGACAATCCGGCAGTGGTCCCAGCCCAGGCTGATTCCAGTGAGCTGCAGACCAAACACAGTCAGGACTTGACTGATGTGTCGCCCGCCCAGGAGACCCTCTCACAGCTCTCCAGGTGGTCGTGGCAGCCATGGTGAAAGCCGTACTCTGCCAGGTCTGCAGCACCTTCCCCCACCTTCCAGTCCCCACCAACAGGGAGTCTTGTCCTTCACCCCCAGCAGTGGGGATCTGAGAAACTCCCTCACAGAGCTGTGAATGCCTGCTGTGTTTAGGCTGCAGCAGGGTCTTTGGCCCAGGGCCCTTTCCTCGGGGCGGGGGGGGGGTAGATTAGGGGGAGTTTTCCTCCAGTTTTTAATGCAGCACCTGGAGGGGGATGAAAGAGAAGCAACTGGGGAAGAGGGAAAGCTGGAAACTCACTGGTGTGACCTTCCCACAGGTTCCCTGCAAAGGCCAGGAGAGATGGCCGCCTCCAGGGCATGGCGAGGTGAGCAGCTGCCCTTCGTGGGCATAATGACCCTCGTGGTTGTGGTCATCACCCTACTGTTCCACACGCTCCTCTGGAAGGCCGGCAACCTCACAGAGCTGCCCAACCTCAGAATCGGCTTCTACAATTTCTGCCTTTGGGATGAGGACATCGGCTCCCTTCAGTGTCACCAGTTTCCAGAGCTGGAGGCCCTGGGGGTGCCTCGGGTCGGCCTGGCCCTGGCCAGGCTTGGTGTGTATGGAGCCCTGGTGCTCACACTCTTTGTTCCGCTGCCTCTCCTCCTCGCCCAGTGCAATGGCTCTGAGGGGGAGTGGCAGCTGGCGATGGGCTTCCTGGCCATGTCCTCCATGATGCTGGCCAGCGGCCTGGGTCTCTTCCTCTCCTTTGTGTGGAAGTGGGCCGGGCTCTCCCTGCTGGGGCCTGGCTTTCTGAATCTGATCCTGGCCCAGGCCTTGCTCATCCTGCTGTTCAGGGCAACAATTGTGTACCGTCCGGGGACCAAGGTAGACAAGAGCAAGCTTGAGGCCTGCTAGTCCTATCTAAAGGCAGAGGTGATTACAAGTGTTCATCCCAGCGGTGCTCCGAGCAGGTGCCAGAGAAGCATGGGCTGGCCCTTCCTCCCAGACATCTTGTTGCATAGCTATCGCTGATCTCAAGCTCCGGCAGATGGACCTTTGTGGAGCACGTGGGGCCCAGGGTCCAGGAGACCAGAACAGTTGGGGTGATAGGGTGCCTGAAGCTTCTTAGTGTAGGACTGTGTCCTTCCGAGGACACCCTAGAAACACGCAGCTCATGGCCACATGGATTCTCACTTTCATTAACCCACCTGGGTGATTCTTGCTTTAAACTCAGGACGAGGGAGAAGGAAGGAGTCCTGTCAGGGAGATTTCCGGACTGATCTGCCAAATCAGCAAACTGCAGCCCAGTGAAGGCTGATGGGACCATGCTGAGAGCACCTAGGGTCTCCAGGCCCTGGCTAGCAAGTGCCCGCTCCTGTTCTGTGCAAGTGGCCGTGTGGGCCGCTCCCAGGACTCCACTCCCAAAGGCCTAAGAGTGACCTTGGTGGGATCCAACAGAGAAACACGCAGGGCATGAAGGGACACCTCTGTGACTTTGAAGGGTCCCCTGAAAAGGTCCTCTGGGCCTGAAGCAGATACTGTGGGGGGTCAGCTGGCCAACCACTACCACTGTGTAACTCATGAGTTCAGGAGAGAATGTCCCAGTCCTTGGGCAGGAGAAGGGAACTGGACTGAGTGGTTCCCCTCACTTCTCTAGCCGGAACTGTAAAGGACAGACGCATAATTCATGTGATGGGGGATTTTGTATATTTTTCAGCATCTACATATTAGAATGATTTCCTCATTCCATACCTGTCAAAAGCCGCACTGAATACAGAGATAGAAACACGGGCTCTGGCCTGGTCCTCTGTCTGTAGTCTGTCCTCTGTGCTCCTGACCCACTCTCACTTCCCAGGAAGAAGGGGAGGAGGGCTGTCTAGCTTGCTCACCTGCAGGGAGAGCCTGGTGCTCGGAGTCCCCGACACACAGCCGGGGGACAGAGGCTGTTTTTAACACAAGCCTCCCCTGAGATGGTGCTGACTAAACTCGAGGAATTCCAGTGTACTTCGTGGCCACTCTTCCTTGAAAAGTATTAAGTTCCGGTAAGCTGAACCCCATGGCCTCATTTCCCCTGGAACCTGGTAACTGCCACAACAGATGGCTGGGATTCCAGACTCGCTGAGCCAGGAGCGGGCACAGTGCAAGAGGAACTCAAGTCCCCAGGGTCCAGAGCGTCCAGGCTTCTGAGCTATGATGACTCAGCCAGGTCTGGGGAGGCAGCCCCAGCTGTGCCCAGCTCCGCTCAGCAGAAAGCCCAGCAGGCAGTTCACCCCTTAGCTGAAAAAAATCTCCCTGACGTATTTGAACACATCCTCCTCCTGCTGCTCAGGGCTCCTGCTGCAGGCAGAGGTGAATGTCTCTGGCCTCTGGGAAGGGCTGGGGCCGGCCTCGGGCCTCAGCCCATGGTTCCCACTGTCCTCTTCGTCGCTGTTGCCACCAGAACTTGTGTGAGGAGACCTGGAGCCTGTGGGGCAGAGCTCAGTCTTCTCAGCACCTGCTACAGCCAGCTCTTCCCAAGGCTTCTCCTGGGTGCGGCCCTGTGGAGCAGCAGAAAAGGCAGGCTCAAGCCTGCAGCTCATTTCCCAAAGTCCTGGTTTGTCTGTCAATGACACAGGACAAACCCAAAGTAACTGCAAAGCCAGCGGTTGACCGGGACAGGGACTGCTCCCACCTCACAGTTACCCACCCTCTCTTCACCCCACACCAGCTCCTCAGGCTCTTGAAGAAATCAAGACCTAGTGGGGGGAGAAGCAGACAAGGGTGGGAAGAACAGCTGCATACAAAGAAAAAGAAACCAATAGAAAAATGTGGCTGGAAAGGCAGAGTGAGAGAATGGAAGGGGCCCAGGGTACAAAACCTGCTATGGGCCCTCGTTCCCTCACAGAACAAAGACAAGTCCCAGTGTCAGTTTCTTGGGAATAATAGTTGTATATTACTATACCGCAGGGCTATTGTGAGGGTTCGTGAGATAATACACTGTGTAAAAGCATCTGGCAAACTATAAAGTTCTATACAACCCTAAGGTAGTGCTATTATTAGTACCTCAGGAAGTAGGAAATGCACAGCATTCTGCTAAGGAGATGGCATTTCCCCAGCCAGGACCCATTCTGAGAACGTGACAGGGAACACTTTATGTGCCCTCCAAACACACACCGGGATACACAGTCACCCCAAACACAGAGCACACTGTCCCTCAAACCCACACCTCACAGGGCACACACCCCATGTGGGGAGACAGTGAGGGCAGGGGAGCTGAGAAAGGAGCAAGCAGGGACTGCTGAAGGCACGGGCTGACCTGGAGCAAGGCCCTGTGACAGTGACCAGGGGCCTCGGCTGGTTCTGCCTGTGAAGCTTCAATCAGTCTACGAAGAAAGGACACAGTGACTCTACCTCAATCAGGATCCCCAGGGCCACATCCACCAACTCAGCCTCATTCATGCAGTACACAGTCTTCACTGCAAGGCGTCTGAAAGACACAAGCCGCAGATGGACACAGACGGTCTCAGGTCTCAGAGGAGAAAGGAAATGAGAACAAGGGGCTTGCATTCCCCAGCTCCCCCACCAAAGTCAAGTACAGCCACACCTCTGAGCTGAGGGGCTTCCACAAAGCTTTCACAAGCGTGACTCATCCTTGAGGCCTAGTGACAGGCACGGGATTCCCCACACTCCACCAACTCCATTCCCCTGCAGGGACCTGGGTCTAGGGGATGACAGCTGGCTCCCGAGAGTCACCGTGAAACACACACAAAGCACACAAAGAACGAGAGCAGATACCGGTGCCCATCCACTGCTCTCGCCCATTTGATGTCAGTTTTTATTGCAAGTGAGGAGTGGCATTTTGGACAACTGGCACCTGAGCTCCTGAACCGACTTTCTGTGCCGGCCAACTGTGCAGGGCCAGGCAGGAGAGGCACAGCTGGGCGCTGGTCTACAGGGGACAACGCCCCTCACCTCCCAAGAGCTCAATGGCACACCGCCCCCCTCGGTGGGCCCCAGCCACTGGGAGCCCCCCCCAGTCCTCCCCCAGTGCCCTGGCCACAGCTTCTCCCACCTTGCTGCCTTCGCTGGCTCTGCCATCCTCCTCTTCTTGGGGGTCTTCAGCAGCACCACCCTCTTCTTGGCCACCTGGGCTGTCATCCATGAGGGAAGGACTCTCTTTTTGGTCTCAGATTTTAATGTTTCCATCCCTGTAGTTTCCCACAAAGGGGAGTCAGACCCCTGGCTTACTGAGCTGCTTCTCTGCTTAAAAACAGTGAATCCCACTCTTTCATCATACCAGGAGTTGGAGGCCTAGGTGTCCCAAGTGGGAGCCGACCATTAACTCTACAAAGAGGAAAGTCTGGTGAGTCCATAGCGGGCACCCTCTCATCAGCCGCGAGTCATGGTCGGTGTCGGGCAGGCCAGAGGGAGCCAGGGGAGCAGGGCCCAGGAGACTCAGGTGGGAAGATGGGTGTCAGGAGGATGGGTCAGGGAGGCAAAGCTCACTACTCGGTGCTCCACAGGCAGCAGATCCAGCCGGAAATGCCTCCCAGAAGCCACTGTCCCTGGGGGTAGCATTCGCAGGAAGCACGACTTGCTGGTGTCCCCTCTCCTCCGCATACCCAGCCGATCCCACTCCCAAATCACAGCCCAGGATGCCTGCCTCATCTGCCCATCCAGACTTCTCACTTCCTGCACAGTAACTGCAGCCAGGAATCCGAGGCCACCCATCCAGTAGTTTCATTGGCCACTACCCTCCCCCCTTGACCTGAAGACGTTCTGACTGGTCACTTTTCACCTGCCAGAGGGCTGAGGACGCGTAACTGTGCCTGGCTGCCCAGATGTGCAGAATCCAGAACCCTTCCCCTCCCCAAGACGTGGAACTTGGCCTCCCTTTCCCTCCCCGTAGCCTTCAGTCCCTACCCAGAGATGGGGCTAAGACTCAAGACTCAAGGGCTGAGTCTCTGCCCTTCGCTTAGGAACAGGGTGCTTCTGCCTGAGAACACTGTCCCCAGGAAAGAGTAAGAAATCCTCCTCTTAATTTGGTGACCGTTTATGGCTCGTCCATAATGGCTGCTCAGAATTTAGGAAAAAATTAGACCATCGTCCTAATGTCTAGCCAGAGAACAGACCTGTGCTGCTGTCTCTGGTTCCGGGGAATTCGGACGCTGGTGAGTCACTCCTACCATCTAGTAAGCACACAGCGCTGCACACTGGTACAGAAACGTATTAGAGCCAGAGGTGCACAGCTTAAGTCCGTTGCACAAAGGAGGTGCTGAGAGTTAAGCTTGCACAAGGTCACTAACATTTGGAAATCAAGCTGGTTTGGTGTGATCTCAGCAAACTAGGCGGCTGAGGCAGGAGGGCAGCAAGTTCAAGGCCAGCTAGGCAACTAAGTACCGCAGTTCCAGTCTCAAAATACAAAGTTGAAAGGGCGATGTACGCCACTCAGTACAAAGGCCCTGGGTTCAGTCCCCAGGAATCTCCTCCCCCAAGCTGGAACTCGGGCACACAGCACCGCGCGCGGCCCTGCAGACCGCAAGCCCCGAGCCCCCCACCCCCACCCCGCGCGTTCCTGGGCATCCTGCGCCCGCGCGTACCCGCCGCTCGCGTGGGGTCCGCCTTGCGCCCGACTAGGCCCAGCTGTCCACGCTGCCGACGCTGCCGCCGGACCTGGAGCTACAGAGCGCGCCGCGCCCAGCCAAGAGCTTCCTCCGCCCTTCCGCCTGGGCTCTCGCGCCCCCTGCAGGCCGCACTGTGTCTACGTCCCTCTCTGAGCTCCATCCTCAGCCCTTTTTTTTTTTTTTTTTTTGAGACAGGGTCTCGCTAAATCATTAAAGTTGCCCAAGCGGAGCTCGAACTTGCCATCCTCCTGCCTCCGCCTCCTAGAGTGCTGGAATTACAAGGTGGCTGGCACCTGGTTCTTAACTAGAGCGGCAGACGAGGGGGAGAAGGAGCCCGGTGTTGGAGAGTGAACGTGACCATTCCCGAGCCCCTGGTCAATAATTAGGCGAAGGGATGGGGTGGTTGACGCCCCGTCGAGGAGTCCCCCAGGAGAGGACTAGATACCTGAAGCTCGGTTGCTGTCCTCACCAACGGGGGCGTCGCGAGCGCCCCACTCCCCGGGCAGTGCTTAGAGCCGCGCTGGGCACGTGGCGTTGGGGCCAAGGAAAATCGCACTTGGGGCTCAGAGAAATCCAACAGGAACCAGGAGAGAAGCCCCTACCGGAAACGCCATGTCCTCAAACCAAGGGGAGCCCTTTCCTGCACTTCCAAGGCTAGGGGTGACCAGATCTGGTGGACAGGGTCGGACCCCAGTGAGGAGTCACGGTACTGAGATTTGCAGCGGATCAGCAGCTGTCGGAGGTGCCCGAGGCTGGCACCCCTTTCCCCTGAGCCAGCGGAGCCAAGCCGCCCTTGCCCTGGGGAAGCGCCTTCCCGGCTCTTCTGTACGCTGATGCTCAACCCCAGGCAAAGTTTAGTCAGGGATCGGTCCGCTGCCAAGTCAGTGGTCTGGGGTGGAAGCAGGCTGACCGGCCACTCTGCAGCACCCCACTGTCCAGGGCCACCATGAAGGTGTCTCTAAGTGATCAAGCGTCCTCTCACCATAAGCAGGGAGGAGTCTAAGGGGGGGGGGAGTAACACGGAATCCTCCCGTGAATAAAGGACAAGGCAGCCTAGGGCAGTGCTGGGGTCCAAAGCCAGGCCTTGTACACGCCAGGGAGGGCTCTGCCACTAAGCCACATCCTACCGACAGTGCACCTCACCCAGGGTTTCCATAGCACTCGGGCTTCTCTGAGGTTAAAGAGAAGAGACAGGACTCCGTGGTCATGTCTCAACCCCAAGAAAAGAAATTCAAAGAGAGAAAAAACAAACACTAAGATGGCTACAATGGAAATGGATTGAGGACAAACAGGTTTCACACTGACAATTGGACTTTTTAAAAAATTGAGGTGAACTTAACCACAGCCTAGAGTCAACCCTTTAAAATGAATGTTTTGGTCTGGGATTGTAGCTCAGTGCAAAAGCAGTTGCCTAACATGCATGGGTCCTAGGTTCAATCCCCAGCACTGCAAAAACTAATTCTTTTAGAAAGGAAAGAAAATGAGCCCCAAGAGCAGGAAGCTCGTGTCTGCATAAAATGCTTTGCTACAAACCAGGTGTGGTGGAGCACACCTGTAATCCCAGCACTCTGGGAAGATGAGGCAGGAGGAAGCTTGGCAAGTTTGAGCCCAGCCATAGCAAGATCCTGTCTCAAAAACAAAAAAGGAAAAAAGGACTGGGGATATAGCCCTGTGTGAAGGCAGCTGGATCTTCAGTACAAAAAAAATCCTTGTTTCGGGACAGGTCCCAGGCAGGGGGTAAGAGACCAAGCTATGACATTTACATACACCTGTAGCATTGGGATTTTAACATTTTTTTATTTTTTAAATTAATAGATAAAATGTTGTATGTTTATTGCGAGGCAACAATTCACCAGGCTGAGTTGGTCCATAATATGTATGTTGTGTGCATCATGTGCACCATGTTGAGCCCTGGGCATCTGAATGCCACACCAAGGGGCTGGATTTGGGTCTGAGCCTGCAAGCAGAAGTGCAGGCAGGTGTCTGAAGAAGAGAGAAAACCAGAAATGCATCTGCAAAGCTGCAGGCACAGGCCAGGCCAGGCTAGGTGGTCAGCACCAGGCAGGTGCAGAGGGGAAACCAAGGCCTTGCCCACCTCTCAGTCCTATCCCTCCAGATAAGGGGGAGCGTGCTCGGGCTCTTGGGTAGATGCCGACCAAGTGCTCTGAGGGAGAGGTACAATTCCACACGCTGTATCTGAAGATGAGCACTTCTCGGAGGGCTGGGGACAGGGAAGATGACCAGGGTTCCAAGGGTTCCTGTGGAGCTCTGACCAGTAATGACAGTCAGCCAGCTGTGGGCACGAGACAGAGAAACTGTGAGGAGGCGAGGAGCCTTTCATTCAGCCCAGATGAAAGCCAGGATCACTCACTGGGCGGGACAGATGAGGCTGCTGTTTCAGTGCTGAAGATGGGAGAGTGTAAGTGGGGAAGCCTGGGTTTTCTTCATCTGAGGGGCTGAAATGGCTGAAAATGGCTACTTACTGCTCAGACCCTGATGTTTTCTCCCATCATCCACACACACAGTCCTTCTTACCTCTCCTCAGTCCCAGCGGAAGGGAGCCACAGCCTTAGAGCCTTGGTGCTTTTCCCAGAGTAGGTACCCAGGAGCATGCCCCGCCAGCCCTATGCTCTAAACGACTGTTCTGGGTAGCTTGAGCAGTGGCCCTCTCTGGGTAAGCGACAAGATCACCCTGCCAGTGTGGAAATCCCAGGCCCAGACCCTCCAATCCCAGGATGCCTGCTACAGGAGCCCAGCATCAGCCGTGTTACACAGGAGGGACAGGATGTTGGCTCCCCACCTGTGGAGAATCTGCCTCTTCAGGGTGTCAGGCCAGAGAGATGGGTGCAGGCCTCGGGCAGGAGCATGGACAAAGCTGGCCCAGGCTCAGCTCAGACCCAAGGGCGGGCCGGAAATCCTTGTACCCTCTGGGAAACTTGGCCATTGCTCACTGTCTCACCATTCACCAGCAGAGGGTGCAGGCAGCAGGCACTAGTCAGTCCCAAGGATGCCAAACTGAAGAATGAGAGGAGCCACCCAGAGAGAGACGCTCATAATAGCAGGCATCAGAAGGCAAGGGCAGCCAGCGGCAGAGCCCCTGCCCCGTCTTGAGAGGCTTCTGTCACAAATGTCACCAACTCTCAGGTAGTCAGAGGACACTCCAAACTTGCCTGGAGCCCGACCAAAACAAAGCACGGTGGGCCCATGTCCTTCTCCTGGCAAAGCCCCTGGGACCTGCCGAGCACAGGGCAGGGAGAGCTGGTGAGGAAGGCCCGCCGAGGTCCCGGATCACAGGGCAAAGGGACACACACATCCTCGAAAGGTATACCGGCTCATGGCAAGAGCATTCTTTTTTAAAAAAGAAGACAAATAAGCAAATAAACACAGAACACTGCTACTCTCCTGGGCCCACACAGTGCCCTGACTCTCCTCATCCCTGAGCTTTCCTTCTGGTCTCCAGGAAGCGCGTCACCCGCCCCATGAGGCTCCTGTCCCAGTCACTGTGGTGGACAATCTTTCACTGGACACTTGCTGGCAGGAGCTAGCAGTGGGCGTCCTGTCCCCTCCTGTGGCCTGGGATGATGCCAGTTCCATGGTCCCTCGGCTGCCTGTCAGACCTTGTGGGCCAGCAGGGTGGTCAGCTTGACTTTGCCATCCATGGAGGCAGTGAGGCAAGTCCCACAGTCCATGGCGGTGCTCCAGTCCACAGTGACCACAGGCGCCCGGTGGCCACCCAGGCTCAAGCAGCTCTCCAGGACCTTCTCATCACCGCCCAGCTGCAAGAGGCCCGGAGAGAGGGTGCAGTGTTAGCAGGCAGCGCGCAAATCCATCCACAGTACCTACCATGGTGGCTCAATGCCTTGAGCCTGGGCTACCACCCTAACCGGGCAGATAGCCAGAGCCAGCAAACCTGTGCAGTCTGCCTGACTTCCTGGATCAGAAGTGTACCTGCCTCCCTGACTACAGCCGCACATGGAGACAGCCCTGAGACGCTGTACAGGAGCGGCCACTGGTGCAGGAGGTCCTGGCTCACGGCGAATTCTGGGCAGCAGAGAAAGGAACTCCTACACCAGTGGCTGCTCCCAGCCCAACCATTCCCAACTCTTCCTCGGTCCTCCATGGCTTCTAGAACAGGAAGTGTTCCCAAGGAACGGGGGTAGGACAGAGCTTTGGCAAGGACAGCTAATGGACAAGCGGAAGAGAGTACCTGGGTCCCTGCCCTCCCCGCACCTTCCTGACGGGAAGTGAGGCAACCTTTCAGAGGAGGTCCAGCCACTATCTGTCCCGTGTCAAAGACTTCTCAGGGCTCTTCTGGGTGGCACAGGCCCAGGTCCCCACACAGGACCCCCGCCCCGACTCCACACACAGTTACCTTGTAGATGACGCCCCCCGTGGCAGAGCATGTCAGCATGTAGTTGCCCTCTGAGTCGAAAGCAAAGAGCCGGCCCCTGGGGACTTGAACCTGCTTGTAACCACTGTAACCAGACAGCACAAAGGGACCTGTGGCATCCGAGGGGAGGCTGTGCTCAGACACCTTCAGGCCACTCTTGTGGATGTTCCACTGAATGAACTGCAAATAGGAGGCACACAAGGGTGTGGCTCAGCAGGGGCCAGCTCAGGCCAGCGGGGAGGATGCCGGGCCCACCCAGAGCAGGGCTAGGCACAAACGCCTCCCTCTGCATGGCCCTGGCAGCCCAGAACGGGCCTTGCAAGTTCCAGAGGCAGAATGGGGGCTGTGGCTGAAGGTCCACAAGCCACCCCAAGTTCCATCTCTTGCCAACACAATGTTTTTTGGGAAGAAAACCTAGAAAAAGTTAGCAACCTCATTTCAAAGTCCAACTCTTCCCTTCCCCTCTGGCCTGACCCCAGAGGGAAAATGGACAGCAGCCAACTTTGCCTGGCTCCCAGGCTCCCAAGCTGGGGAGGCTCCAAGTGCATATTATTAATTATTATCAGAGATCACACTGGGGACAAATTCCACAGCCGCTTCCATTTCCTCAGGAATGCAACCTATCACACACTTCATTGACTGTCCTGGGGATAACTCCTCAGTTTACCCTATGGACAAACTACTTGTTTATGACTACCTCTTGGCCGGGAATCCTACCCACATTAACAGGAAGCTAAGCTTTAACTTAAAAATTCCTTCCTATAGTTTTCAAATGAGGAATTGAGGCCAAGCACAATGGTGCACACCTATCATTCCGTCTACTCAGGAAGATGAAGCAGGAAGATCATTTGAGCTCAGGAGTTTGAGGCCAGCCTGAACAACAAATATAAGACTCGGAAAAAAAAAGCCTGATCTTGAAATTACTGTTTTCAATAGAGAATACAGATAGTTACCACATTTCCCCGAAAATAAGACCTAATGAAAATAAGCCCCAGCATGATTTTTCTGGATGCTCATAATATAAGCCCTACTCCAAAACTAAGCCCCAGTTAAGATTCTTGGCGAGATAAATGCATTTAGTACATATGTCTGTTGCAACACATGACGGACATATTGAATTATAAAATAATATGTAATTAATATAAGTAATATTACTGACATTAATACTTAATATAAATTATAATTAAGTATTTGTCAATACCTAACTGGGCAACTTTGGATGAGAGGTAAATGCCTATGTAAACAGATGAACTCGAGACTTACTGCCAAATGACCAACTGGAATACAGACACAAGGCACAAATTCTGTGCACACTTGATAACAAACCAATGTGTTTGGGTCTATACAAATCTTCATAATTCAGTACGTGGTGTGTTGTACCAATGCACTGAGAGTAGACTACACAGATGCAAAGCACACATTTAAGGAAAGCCCTGTTGCTGGACAGGAGACATTGGGACCAATAGTTCTATGGGAAATGGAGTCGCAAGACATTTAGGCCAGAATTCAGGTTGGGAGGGTTATGACGATGTTCCAGAAGATGACATGACTGTGTTCAAACAGAGGCAGACTGCTGAACATGAATAAATGTACACTGTTGTACATAAATGACATAAGACAGCCCCTGAAAAATAACCCCCATTGCACCTTTTGGAGCAAAACTCAACATAAGACCCTGGCCTTATTTTCAGGGAAATACAGCAGTATGAAATCCTACAAGTACAGGAAGACACAAGTGACAGGCAAGTGACCCCCCATGCCTACCCTGAGCTCCCTTTCAAGGTAGCTGTGATTCCTTCCCTAACTTGACCTTCTAGAGAGGGATTCCATGGGGTCATTTCCTTCTCCTTGGCAAGGGGGGGGATCCTTTTTACTTCTCTGGACTCGGCTCAGGCCTGTGCCTCTGGGAGGCCACCCCCAGCCTCTTGGCACACTACTCATGCATGGTGGTCACAAGGCCGCACAATTACCATGCTCACCAAGGTATATCGTTTTTTTTTGGTTTTGGTACTGGGGATCGAACTTGGGACCTTGCGCTTGCGAGGCAGGTGCCAGAACCACTGAGCTAAATCCCTGGTCCACCAAGGTGTATCTTGACCGTAAACATGCCTCTACAGGGCTGGCATTTTTATCTCTAGTCTTCAAGGCTGATTTTCTCCGGTTCACTCTTATTTTGGGGGAAAGAGGGGAGTAGGCCACATGGACAGGTCTAGCCCCAGCCCACTGGTGTCCCACCAAGCTCACTCACAGATCCAGCAGCACCTACCTTGCCATCCTCGCCAATGCTGTACACGGCATTCTCGTCGCAGCTGAATTCCACAGAATACACCTCCCCATGGTGGGCCTGCCAGCTCATGGCGCACTCGTGCTGCTGCATGTCTGAGGCGGGAGATGCAGCGAAAATAGTGTCCTGGCACCTCAGGGGGCACCGCCCACTGCTCAGGCCTCCCCAACTCAACAGTGCCCACCAGGGCAGGCTATCCTGGAGGTGCAGAAGCAGCTTCTTTCACTGGGTCACAGTGAGGCTCAGAATCCCTGCTGGAGCAGGAGCTCACCTGAGGAGCCCATAAGAGCCAGAGGACACAGGAAGGAGTCCTTCCTACAAGGCCTCCGTGACTCCCCCAAGCCCCTGGGGAGCCACCAAAGATACCTCATCCCATCTTAGACCCTGGAGATATCTCCCTGGTGACAGAGAACAAGCCACCCACAGGCAGTGGGCAAAGGGCCTTGCTCTCATGTGTCCTCCTGCCTACCAGATGGCGACAAGGACTCAGATGAACAGTCCAAGACCAAGGACTGCTGAGCTCACCCCACTCCCATGTCTACTCACGCTGACAATGCACAAGTCAATTGTGCTGGGTGTTTCAAAAACTCTACAGAGTGACGCTCAGCACTTGCATGTGATACTGGGGTTTCACAATAGCTTCGACTCCAGCGGGGCAGCCAGGATTGCCACGCGCAACATTTCGTACCGAACAGCCGGATGACGCCATCAGCTGCCCCTGTGACCAGCAGGTTCCCGTTGTGATTGAAAGCCGTGCAGTTGATAGCAATGGGCTCTGGGTCCACAGAGAACTGGAGCTATTAAAGCCGAACATAGGCAAAGTAAGCACACCCAGCACACGATGGGTCCTCTGCCACTCCCTCCTTCTGGAAAAACAGACCTGCGCCTTTGCCAAAGTACTGCACTTGTGAGCCACTGCACTTTTCTGAGAGGCAAGGTCACTGTGCCTACAGATATTCGAGTTTCCACGCTGCCTTAGATACCAATGAAGTAACCCATATCTCAGCAACCACAACTTTTCCCAGTGCATTCCAAGACGAGTCATTCCACTTCCTGGACTGGCTTTCCTGACAGGCAGTCCAGGCACAGAGGACCAGCCAAGTAAAGGTCCTCAGCTTGAGGTGTGGATCCCCTTCCGTCAAGGCCAAGCATCTCCCCACAGAAACGGACCAGAGTTAATAAAACCACCTCATGGAACTTACGGTCTATTAACTAATCTAATGATGAATAAAGAACATCATTTCAAGCAATATAGAACCCTAGGAGCCCTGTTATTCCCCAGAGACTAAAAGTGAAGATGAATGTTATGCAATGTTATTGAAACACACATAGCCAATACTGAGTTATCAAATCCAAGAATCCTCTAAGGCCAAAACAAAGGAGAAAGCAAGACTTCTGAGGACTACAGACCCCTGAAGGTGGCTTTCACTATGAGGCATTCATCAAATATAGATGATTCTATCCTCATTCCGACAGCTGCTATGGCTTGTATCTAGATGTCCCCACAAAGCCTCATATGCTCAAAGGTGGGAATTTTCAGAGGTGGCTGGATCTAGGATGCGTGAATGTGGATTGAGGGTGTGATACTGGGATCAAGGATGTGTGGTACTGGATTAGTCTGGGTATGGGTAATGGGAAGCCCCACCCTGGGTGCGGGTGGCACCACCCAAAATGCTGGTAGCCTGTATGGGATAGACGAGAAAAGGAGGCTTGCTGCTTCCTGTCTTCCAGGCCACCCTGCCTTGGAGCCAGCCAACTATGGACTGACACCTCTACAAATTGTGAGCTACATAAGCCTTTCCTCCTTTAATGTGTGGATGTCAGGTACTGTGTCTCAGTGAAGCAAAAGTAACTAAGACACAGCCATGCAGCTCAGAAGCCCACAGCCCCAAGTGTAAGGCTTGTTCGAGGTCAAATGATAAATCTTCACACATGGCTAGGACTCCAAAGAGCTACATCCTCAGTGCAAGAGTGAACTAGAAACAAACCTACTCCACCTCTCTCCAAATCCATAACCACAAACTGCCTGTGACATGGGTTTAGAATTCCAATTCCCAATCCCTCTGTAGCCTGAGAAGCCTCAAACAGTATTTTAAAGTTCTCAGGTGCCTGGCAAAAGTGAATGCAGATCTCCTCCAGAGAAATGCGCCCCCACCCCAACCTCAAAATGTTCTCAAGCATAAAGCTCCCAGAAACACGAGCCCACATTCAAAATTCACAGGACACAGGAGAACAAGACAGGAGTGAGCACCCATGAAACAGCAGCGAGCAAAACCAAACTCAGAGACTTCAGACATGAATTACCAGACAGAACAGAAAATCAGTGAGTTGGACATGTTCCACAAAATAAAAGGAGGAACTACAAATATGCGTAAAAATGGAAGTGTATAAGCATGACAGAACAGGTTTGTAAAAATGAGAAATACAGTAACTGAAATTAATATCTTCACCAGTCAAATAGAGGAGTACATACAATGGAGAAGAGAATTAGAAACTCATTAGAGCAGAGGAAGCGATCTTCATGAATACAGCAAAGTGAAACAAAAAAGAGGAAGAAGACATTCCTAAACATTACCTAACTGGAATTCCAGAAGGTAAGAGATAACCACGGAGCTGTAGTACTAGAAAAAAGGTGACTGACTGAACAAACACAAACCCTCGCTTTAGAAAATGCAACAATCCTGAGCAGGAGTTGAAAAGTTGAAAATTAAACAGCCAAAAACTCTGCACCCATATACACAGATACTAAGATCTTAAAAGCAGCCAGACAGAGAAGATAACCAAGGCCATTCCACTTGGCGCGAACTTCTCAGCAAAGCCAATTGAAAATGAGACTGACCCAGCTAAGAGCCTAGAAAAATACACATACCATGATTCCACTCATATAAATTGAGAAAAAAACACAAGACAAAAGCTATGCTGTTCAGGAACATATATTTATGTGACAAACTAATTTCTAAAATGTAAGGCCACAGCAAACCAAGCTCTCTCTGGAAGGGAGAAGGAGCCAGAGATTGGGAAGGGCACACAAGAACACGAAAAGGATTGGTAAAATGTTCTACATTTAAACCAGGCACTCAAAGCCAGGCACAGTGGCACATGCCTATAATCCCAGATACTCTGGTAGCTGAGGCAGGAGGATCCAAGTTTGAGGGCAACCTGGGCAACTTAGCAAGAACCCATCTCGAAAGAAAAAATAAATGAAAATAAACAGGTAGTATGTAGCCCAGTAGTAGAGCACCCAAGGCTGAACCCCCAGTTCTGCAAAAATAAACCAGGCATTCATTTTACTGCTTTTCTACTCATTATACCATATACCTATGATTTTAATATTTTCATGTATTCAAATTAAAATTTTGAAAATAACAAGTAAACTTAAGGTTACAAATTGTGCTAAGAGATGTGGCAGAAAATAGCAAAACATCAATAATGAAGAGAGACCAAATTAAGAGTGCTGGGGAGGCAGTGGGCAGAGGCCTTTGGGGTCCTGCAGATGCCCTGCCAGGGTAACTAGGCCATGTCCTACCAATGATGAGCAGCAGTCAGACTAGAAGCCCAGTTCAGACGTGGCAGGACCAGCATCTGTTCACAGAAGATACCCAGGGTCTGAGTGGCTGCATGTGTCAAATAAAGAAAGCCAAGACAGGACAAATGTGCAAGGAGCAAAGGTGACGATGCCCTGACTGGCTTCGGAGACCATAAGACTTCCCGGGGGCACACAGACGGTGAGCCTGATCCCAGGCAGGCGCAGAAAGATGCAGACTGCACATCTGGAACATAGCCCGCCTGTGAAGCAGAACCCCGAGTGCCAGGCAGCACCAGAGATCAGTGCCTTCACATAAAGGACACACCACTTCTGAAGAGTTGTAACAAGAAACACCACTACCTTCTCAACAGGTGCGTTTAAGGGCATTTCTCACTCTAGAAATATAATGACAGCTGCCAGCACCTGCTACTGTTTGGGGCAAGCCAAACGGTAGCTGTCACTGTGTGTAAATAAGCACCTGTCCTCATTATGGCTGGCTACCGCTGGAATGCACACAATTCTAAAGTACTGGAGTCAGAAGGGGTCCACTCCTAAGAAATAAGATGAATAGTACTCTAGGAGGTGCTGGGTGACTTCTGAGACCGTGGCTACCTTCAGCTGCTCATAATTTTACCAACGGGGGTGCATTACTTTTCAACCCTTGAAGCTTGGACATTTTCTCACAAATCAAAAACCAGAGGAGACCTGGCAGAACACTGGAGTACAAAGGCAACACGCCCTCCAGACAGAGCACCCAGCCACAGGAGCCCCAGGCAGGGCCTGTACCTGCTGCTTCATGGTTTTCGTGTCCCACAGCAGCAACTTGCCAGGAACCTGGTTCATGCCCTTGCTGCCAATGTCTGGTACTGAGGAGTCCACCTGCGAGGTGAGGCTTGGAGCTGCGGCCGAGCAGACAAAAGAGGCCCCATTGGGGCTGCACGCAAGAGACAGGATTCTGCAACACACGTGGGCTACAGTCAGACAGTCACCCGCCCACAGCGGGAGGGCAGGCCTGGCTCCACAGAGCACTTTCAGTAGAGCAGCTTTGACCCTGACAGGCAGGGCCTCAGCTCACCTGGGCATATCATCGTGGATGTTGATCTCGCAGAGATTCTTCTTGGCTTCCGTGTCATAGAGACGCACTGTGCCCACACCACTGCCGAGTAACAGCTGGAACAAGAAGCCACAGGCCACAGTCAGGGAGGACTTCTGGAGCGGGCCAGGCCTGTCCATGTAAGGTGTCAGGCTGGGCGGGCTGCAGGGCCAGCCCCTCCTGCACCAAACGAGGCAGACAGGGATAATCTGCACACAACAGACCACACTTAGAAATTAAGAGAAAAGCCAGGCCTGGTGGCACACCCCTGTAATCCTAGCACTCAGGAAGCTGAAGCAGGAGGATTACTGTGAGTTCAAGGCCAGCCTGGGTCACACAGTAAGTTCAAGGCCATCCTGAAATACATAGCAAGACCCTGTCTCAAAACAACAATGACAAAATTACAGAAAGACATGAAGACAACCTGGGCCAGAATCTGTGCTTGGGCGAGGCTGAGTGGTACTCCAGAGCTCACACACTGGAGACTTACTCTGCAGTGTAGCTACATGAGGCTGGGTGGGACATAAGAGATGGCAGGTGACTGGATCACTGGGCTCTACCTTCAGAGGGGATTAATGCAGGTCTCAGAGCCAGTACCGCTCTCTTGCTTGCTCTCAAGCCTGGTGCCTAAATCTGTCTCTGGCTTCCTGTCTTGACCCATGATCTCTCCTTCCGGTACACACTCCTGTGATGCCATCACCATGGTGTAATGCTGCCAAGGGGGCCCTCACCAGAGCCAGATGGATGCTGCCACTATACTCTTCTAGAACTATGGGCTAAATAAACCTCTTTTCTTTATAAAGTTCCCAGCCAGGCATTTCATTACAGTAACAGAAAACAGACTGATATAGCACCTGAGGAATGAGAGCAATGTGCTACCTCAGAAACACTCGGAAATACGCTGGCTGCTTACATGAGACCCTTCACTCTTCCCTCTTCTCTTCTGGCTGTAAATCCCAGCTTTTCTAATCTGGATTCCTGCTCACTCCTGGTACTGGCCCTGGCTAATCATGGGGCCTGGGTCACTGCCCACTCTCCTTTTCAGGGAACAGATCTGGCTCTGGCTATGTAAAGACCTCCAGAAAAACATAAAAGAGGTTGTCCTTGCCTGCAGGACAACTTGTGATTTATATCGTAAAAAGTTTCAAAAATGATAATATCACCAGAAGCAGCCCAGGTCTATGGTTATCTTTTCCTCAGAAATATTAGCTAAATGTTGACCTCAGCATCAGCTTGGCAAATGGACCCTGGTCCAGGGAAGGCCCTGAGATGCTAGTCTCATACAGATAAATCCTGCAGCTGTCAAAAATTACAGTAAGCCAGTGTTTGCCTCTTGGGCTACAGGGTAGTATCTCTGAAAAACAGAAGAAAAGTAAGAAATCAATTTTACCTCCTTAACTACACAAATCCTATTCAAATATTAAACTCCAGAGAAAACACTGCTATTCCTGGGAGCCATGAGACCCATCAAGATCACAAATTGAAATTTCACCTCTCACCAACATAAGCTGCTACTACTGCTGGGGCAAAGACAGGAGGAGTCTCGGTGGCAGGAGGGAACACACTGAAAAAGTGGTTAGCAACAGGGACACACAGGAGAGGACAAGAAGCCAGGCACACGGTCCCCTTATTTCAATTCTTATTAATCACCACCACTGCAAACAGGAGCCTGCTAGGCCAGTAAACAAGGGTCCCAAATCCCAGTGATGGAGAAGAGGGCTGGGATTTGACCTTAGGTCAGCCTGTGAAGAGTCCTGAAAACCCCAGAGCAAGCACGTACGTAGGCAAAACATCACTCACCAGCCTGTCCCGCTTGGTGGCCCATTCCAGGGAGAGCAGCGGTGACTTGGAAATGGAGGATGCTTTGGTCTGCATGATGGGGTTGAAGGACCACACTTTGATGACCCCATCTACGTCTAGGCTGGCGACTCTCCTCCCTGAGCAATCCACTCTGCACAAGAGAGAAACGGAGGTATGGATACCCTAGCCTCACTCTCTCCAGCTAATGCCAAGATGATCACTTGTCCAATTCTCCAACTATACTCAGCAATAATCCCAAAGGATTATTGCTCAAATGGGATTATTGTTCAAAGGATGAGTGCAGACTATTGCTAGAAGTTTTCATTCACTTAAGAAAAACGCATTAAGCACCATGCCTTTGCCCATAAAGCAATTTAAAACTGCAGAGTTTTGGAGTTTAAAACAAAAGGCAGCTTGTTTCTAAAACTCAGAGAAACACTGAAAGAGCAGGGGCTGACCACTGCACAGCAGCCCCCACCGGACACCCAGATAGCAGCTGTCCAGCCCTCCTCTGACCCTGGGGGGACCACTGTCTTTCAGGGACCACTCAACTCCCTATCCCCATCTTCCTGCCCACACCTTCACATGCATGTTTCCCTGGCTGCCCATCCTGGCCCACCTGCAGTGCATGATGGACGAGTGGTGCTCCCCATACTCCTCCTGACCCAGCACGATGAAGGGCTGCTCCGTGCGGCCTCCTGCTCCCTCAGGCCCGGCTGTGGACACCCGTGTCAGTGGTTCCACCAGCTCCGTGTGAAGATCCAGGGAGGGCTCAGCTTCTGGGCCACCAGCTTCAGGCTTCTTCTCTGCACACTGTGGCCAGAAAAGCAGGGACACATCAGCTGAAAGGAGGTCCCCACACACGGGAGGACAGCGGGAGTGGTTGGTGGTCAGAGTCCAGAGCACAGCTTGGGCTGTGAGGCCCACACTCAGCTCATCCTGGCAGGGGCGGCACCAACTCCCAGGACAACTGCTTCCTGCAGATTCTGCTCCCCACCTCCCTGTCTGGATACACTCCTGTTGTGACATAAAGTAGTGTGACAAAGGTAATGGACACGTTTAGTGAGAGCCTCCCATGCACCAGTGCTAGGCTGAGAGATGCTATTATTTGCCCCATTTACAGTTATGGAAACTCGGGAAAGCAGAAGCTGCCACAGGCTGGCAGAGGGCAGAGTTGGAGATGAAGCCAGGTTTGCAGTGTTCCCATGGCTCTCACAGTGTACCCCACACTGACCAGGACCTCTTCCGGGGAAGTGGGTACTGTGCCTGAGAAACTGAGGCAAATGACCAAGTAAGGACGAGAGACCTGAGATGCCAACTCCATGGCTACCCTGTGTTCACAGACAAACCCCAGGCTCAGGGGAACTGGTCATCTTGTCCTGGTGTTCCTCAAGTGGCCCTCAGGGTGGCAGGTGGATTAGTTCAAGAAGAGAATGAGTTGAGATCTGAGCTTTTAGAATCTACTACTACCAAACTAGAACTGTTCATTATCAAAAATGCCATTAAAATAGGCAAGAAGGCCACAAAGGAGATAATGGTCAAGAAGGTGAACCAGTACACCTGCTGTCTACCATCTGGGTATACGTGGAACCGGAAGCAGCTTATCCTGTCAGGAGGTGCAGACCTGACCTACTTTCCCAGGAGGAGAACCCCAGCCCAGGTAGGTCTGGGGTCTGGGAGCAACTCTCAGCACAGCCACCCTCAAAACAGGGAAAAGGGTCCTGCAGGCAAGGACCAAGTCACACGGAGGGGACCCAGTCTCAAGCCTTGTGGTGTGCAGCATGCACGGCTAAGCCAGGGAGGGACCAGCAGGCCAGGGCTCAGCCAGCCCAGACCCCCTCACAGCCTTTCTGCAGCCTGGCATTCCCAGACCCTGTCTAGGAAAATGCCGCCAGGGAAAAACCAGGCAAAATACCACCCCAAACCACCAAAGTACAAGAGCAAAGAGCAATCAAGCAAGACCAGGCCTGCACAGCAGCAGAACTCAGGGGAGCTAAGGGATGCCTCATACCTGGGAAGAGGTGGTAGAGAAGAGCTCCTTCCGCTCCTTGCCATGGTCCTGCAGGCGCCGCTGCCGCTGCTGAGCCCAGCTCGACTCTCCAGGGACCGGCCCGCATAGGAGGCTCTTCCCATCCTTGGCCCCAGCTGTCAGGTCCTTTCCCTTGGTGGCCTAGGGACAAGAAGCAGACTGTGAAAAGTCTGCTCCTGCCTGCCCAGGCAGGGACAAGAGCCAGGAGGGAAGCAAGTGCAGGAAGTAGCTTCTCCCCAGCAGCTTCTGGCTGGCATGGGCAGGGAGCTCAAGTGCAGACAGAACTGCAGTCAGTCTGGGCTCCCTTCTGTCCATCCTTACCTGTAGCCTACTCTCTGTCTTACCTGGACATAGGCAGATAGCCTCCTTCATCTAATAGGAGCAATCCATAAGGGTAAGGGGCCCAGCACTTACTAGGCAATAACCAAGGCAGGCCAGGTCCCTGCTCTGTGTTATAAACGTTTACACACAACTGTATGTGTCCACAATATAAAAGAACACACATGCAACAAGAATCCCTGTGTGACAGGAAAGGGAACACAATGCAGTCTCTCATTCTGGGCCAACTACAGGACTACGGCTAATGTTAACAAATACTGAAGTATTTGAAAATGACTACTAGACAGCCAGAAATTTTTAACGGCCATTGTTGGAAACCTAAGAATCTTTAAGCAAGACAAATGGGACAGGAAAGAAACTGACATTTTCTAGCTCGCTTTCATACCAAGAGTAATAAGGTCCACCAAACCCACAGCAACAGAGAATGAACCCAATAATGTCCACCCCACCCCAAGACTCCCCTTTGCTTCCCAGGAGCAGAAAGCAATCAAGACAACTGAAGACTGAGCTGCATGGGGCAACCAGGGCACCCCTCACATGGTCCTGGGATGGGATCCATAGTGCCAACCCCATACACAAACCCACTGATTCCTCCCCACATTCACCGATCCAGGGGACAATGAGCAGAGCCTGAAGAGTTCTAAAATGTGTCTCCAGAAACTGTGACATGTTGACAGAATCTAAAAGGTGGTATGGGAACTCCACACCTAGTAATACACAGAGTGCTAAAAAGGAAGACTGGTTTCCTGCGTTAGTGGCAGTTGTTAAAGTGAGTGAGACTGTCACAAAATCCTGGAACAACTATTATACACGTTTGACAGACTTATCAACCTGCCCAAGTGATCTGTAAGATGGATTTTTTTAGAAAAAAGAAAACAATCCAGATAACAGTACAAGTAGATTCTGTGAAGGGTATGTAAGAGAGCAAAAGGAATGGCAGAGGAGATTCAGGAACTAAGTAATCCTAAGGGTACAAAACAGGATAACTTGCTAAAACTTAGTCTCAGAAGCCCATATGTTCAGTGTACTGAGAACAGGCAGAGGTCCTCAAACTTTAATGTGTCTCAGAATCACTGTAAGTATGGTAACTTCTTTGCAGTCCCAGATGGAAATCTAGCTGAAAGGAACCATTTCTAAAGAAAATACGGTCTACCAGTAACGACAGAAAACTTAAATAGACCACTTTCTAGACAGAAAAAACAATGAGATAAGGTTATATATGTATCCAAAAACTATCCCACCGTAAAACATCAGGCCCAAATGGTTTTGCAGATGAATTCTATCAAACCCACAGGAACTACTTGGTCCCAATGCTATAAAAATCATTTCAAAGTATAACAATGAAGGAAAGCGCCCACATTATTTTTTATGAGGCATTTATCTAAATTTTATAAAGATAGTACACAAGAAAGGAAATTACAGATCAGTATCAATATTAATATCAATGCAAATTTCTTAAACAAAATACTATTAAACAGTCTCCTATGTGTGTGGATGTGTATGTTACCCTTCACCTTCCTTCGTAAAACTAGTTGGAAACATGTGAGGGAGTCCTGTTAAGGAACAAGGCAAGATACACATTGTCTCCACTTCTATTAAACACTGTACTGGTGATATGAATACAGTTATATAAAAGGACCAATTAAGCGACTGAAGAATTGGAAAAGAAGTGAAACTATCATTTTTTTGAAGATGATATGACAGTATATCTGAAAACTCTTTGAAAATACATGCTAAAACTAACCCAAAAGAACATGGTAGTAGAATGTAAAAACAAAATGCAAAATCAGTAGCTTTCATAAACACAAATAATGACCAGGTAGAGAATATACTGGTAGTATGAGAGTCCCAGTTACTATGGCAATAATAAATATAAAGTATCTAGAAATAAACTTGACTAAAGTGTGTGAAATCTACATAAAGAAAATTATAAAGACATGAAAGTAGTTCCAATCTTTTTTTAAAATTCCTTATTTTGAGCCAGGATCTCACTAAATTGTCCAGCCAGACCTCAAACTCTCAATCTCTTTCAGTCTCCTGAGTGGCTGGGATTGGAGACATGCATCACTATGCCTGTTGCCTAATATCTTTGACACATGATAAACATAAACTGCAGGGGAAAACAACAACATTTATATAGAGAAATAGGAGAAGATAAAAACAGAATTTATAAGAAATACTCAAGAATACTCTAAACAAGTGAAAAGATCTGCTTCACTCATAGTAGGAGAAAAATATACTAAAACTGCACTCAGATACCATTTTTTACACGTCTTATTGGTAAAAGTTCTAGAACTGGATAGATTCTGCTGCTGAGGCTGTGGGGAACAAGGAATTCTCATAAATTCCTGATGGGAAGGCAAAATGGTAAAACTCAAATGGATAGAGGAGGCAGGGGGGTTTCTATATTATTCTTGCAACTGTTCTATAAGGTTGAAAGTGTAAAACAAAAAAATGTAAAAACAAAAAAAAGAGGGTAAGTCACAACACAATGTTGAGTACTTATAGTGACCTTTCAACAAATCCATAAAAACTCTGGCTGAGAACTTCCAAGTGGATAAAGAGCTGGAGAGAGTGTGGATGTTGCTTGAGCTGTGTATTCACTACACAACGATATTTGAACACTTGAGAAGCTCACCTCCTACTCCCAAACAGTGACCCTGCCTCACACATCTTTGGATCCCTAACACCCAGCACCTGCCTGGCACAGATGGGACCCTCGTTAATGACTGACTAAATACATAAGTGGATGGACTGACAGATGAAGAAACTACGGGAGCAATGAATGGCTGGAAGGAAGATCCCAACATCTACCACTTTTTCTAATACAAGTTGAGCTGAGCGCACACACACCTATAATCCTAGCAGAGGATCACAAGTTTGAGTCCAGCCTGAGTAACTTAATGAGTCTCTCTCAAAACAAAAAAAAATTTTTTTAAAGGGCTGGGATGTAGCCCAGTTCAAAGGCTCTAGAATCAGCCCCCAATACCAAAAAAAAGGAGAAAGGAGAAAGAAGGAGAAAGGAGAAGGGAAGGGGAGGGAAGAGAAGAGGGGTATTCTTTATCCCTTATTCAAGATGCTTGAGACCAGAAGTGTTTCGGATTTCAGATTTTTTGGATTTTGGGATTTTTGTGCTATCTTGGGGGTCTCTGAGATATCTTTGGGATTAAGACTCAAATCTAAATTTAAAAATTCATTTAGATTTAATATACTCTTTATATACACAGGCTGAAGGTAGGTAATTTTATACAATACTTTTAATAATTTTGTTTCATAGTATGGAATTTTCCCTTGCGATATCTTGTTGGTGCTCAAAAAGTTTCAGTTTTCAGCACATTGGATTTCAGATGTTTGGATTAGATACGCTCAATCTGTATAAGCACAACATCTGATGAGTGTTTTGTTGACAATTTCATTTAGTAGAAAATAAAGGAAGTAATAGGAAATCTACCACACTGGGCTTTTTGTGGATTTATAAAAAAGCTGGTTGGCTATACTCATGTGACTGAAAATCTTGGGGGAATAGTGATCCCTTTAGGATGTACAAAGCAAAGGGAACCTGGCACAATCAGACCCAAAACTTTTTGGAACAGGTCTTGGAATACCCAGAGAAAAGAAAAGGGTTGTGGGTTTGTTGTTTTGTTTTGTTTTGGTTTTTAAACCCAGAGCCTTCACACTCACCTGCATTCCGAGCCCTCCCCCACTTTTTTATTTTGAGACAGGGTCTCCCTTAGTTGCTAAACTGCAAAGCCTGGACTCAAACTTGTGATCATCCTGTCTCAGCCTCCTACAGTATCGGGATTATAGGTATGGACACCCAGTGAAAAAAAGAGATTTTAAAGGGAATTAGTGCATGCGTGAGGGATGACAGATTCTGAAGCATGAAATACTGGCCATTTTCTGCCACCAAAAGAAAAAGGAAAACACTTAAAGGAGTGAGTGGTAAGTTTAACACATAAGGAGTAATGCAAACCTATCAGAAAGTGCCAGAAAAGCTAAAGCACAGGTTGAGCAGGAGCCCTGATGACAATAGTCTAGAGACAATGATAAGGACTCTTGTGTGGAGCCAGAAGAGGAAGGAAAGGAAGGGCCCCTTATCTGGTAAGACTGCACAGTGCTGACTGAGTATTTTACTTCTGTGGCTTCTTCTACTCCCTTGGAGACAGAAAAGAAAAACATCTGTTGGCCTATTCATAAGGAAAGCAAGAATAGCAAGCCTGTGTTGATGACCTACAGCACGTTTTAATACCAACTATTAGAAACACGTCAGTAACAACTGTGTTCTGGGAAAACAAGAGCCACTGAGAGCTAAGTGTCCACCCCAAAGAGGAACTTTCAGGAGACGGAGGCCTGTTCGTTGGGAGTGCTGTCAAGACCATGGCTGGGGAGGTGGGCTCCTGCCAATGTGCACCACCCCTCCAGGTGATGCTCTGGAGCTCCCTTGAGAACAGACACATCCCAGTCCAGGAGCTGCCATGTCCACCACATTTTTCTGCCTGCTACATGAATGTCCTCTGTGCACAGCATGGTTATCCTGCCTCAGAGACCAAAAGTAGGAAATGTGACAAGCATTTTGAGGCCCTCTTCTTTCCTCACATACTCCCTACATCTGATAAATGATGTCCTTTCCTTTCCAATGCTTGGTGTTAAGAGTGCTCACTTCAAGTGGCCCAATTGGTAGGCAGAGGCTTCTAATTCTCTAGCTAGATCAAAAGCCACTTGGAATACTTCCCTAGCTACAGCAGAAAACTCAACACAAAGTAGTATGGAAGAAGTATGAAGGCAATGCTTCCCTTATAAATCAGGATGGTAAGGAAGTTGTCCAGTACACCATCAGGCTGGGATGGACGGCTCATATTTTTCAAAATGAAAATACAAATGGGTTTTGTTACAGGGAAAGGAGGGTGTGAAACAGCATATCACTTACGTAGTTCAGGTTGGCCTAGAATTCATGGTGATCCTCCTGCCTCAGCCTGCCAAGAGGTAGGATTGCAGGCATGTGCCACCATGCCTGGCTACAAATAGGCATAAACACAAAGCAAGACAATAAATTAAGAATTGCTTGTACAACAGAATAGTTTATACCTAGTGAGCCACAAAGCCAAATATGACCTCTTACATCCTGCTTAAAGAGAAGAGAGCTTCTTCCACTGTAACTGAGGTAGTCATTGCAGAAGGGTACACAACAATGAAGGGTAACCATGCATTAAAAGCTGACGAACACAGCTGTCCATAATCACTTTAGGAGGTTAAGGTAAATTTGTGTCTAGCTACAAAAGTGCACCACTTAAATAAATGTTTATTGTGACATAACCAGTAGTTGATGTTTTATGGGCAAACTTCACAAAAATCTTACCCACTGGCATCATATAACTTAATTCCCCAGTGGCTTAAGTTATATTCATCACAATCTTCCTGACTCCTACCATTCAGGAGAGAGGCTGGAACCTGGTTTTGGGAGGAGTGTTTTGGGGGGTACCGGGGATTGAACTCAGGACCTTGTGCTTGCAAGGCAGGTGGCAGAACCACTGAGCTAAATCCCCAGCCCTATTGTAACCTGTTTTATCATGTGACCTTCTCCCTCTGGGGACAGATATAAGTTGACACTCATTCATTTTGGGGCTTGAGTAGATCAGGAGCAATTTCAGAGCCTTACCAAGCTTGCCAGGCAATATTCCAACTGGGACAGGAAATAAGTTCCAGAAATTCGGTCTCACAAGAACCAAAACAAAGCTACCCAGACGGCAGGCCTCAGAATAAAGAAACTGCAGACAGAAAGACAGGGCAGGGGGGTGCCCTTTTCTCCATGCTTCCCAGCTCCGTGGGAACAGCCCCACGGTGGCTCTTGTTCCCACTGATGTCTCAATAGCTAGGAAGTAATTTGCTAGTAATAAGAGTTAGAAGTGCAGAAGTTTGTGAATGTTTTGCTTTCTTTACATTACAGCCAATTAAAGGTTATCTGTGTAATAAGATAATTCCCAGCAGCTGTCCCATAGCTCACTAAGTGGGTGTGAGAGGTGGCAGAAATATAGCTGGGGGCAAGACAGGAGTGGAGTGCAGCCTGCTACCAGGCTCTCCCTGCCAACTACAGTTGGAGATCCCAGGAGAGCTTGGGAACTAGGGTTTTGCAGCTACTTCCTTTTTTATTTACCTCTAGATTCACACTGAAAGTATGGAGAGTATATGTTGCCATCTATTTTGTAAGAATAATGCTATGAACACTTAAGTAACAGTGATAACAGTTTCCATGAACCATCACAAGCAGGCAAAATGCTGATGTGAGTGAAATTTACAATGCTCTATATAAATAATATTTAAGATAGGAAGGTCCAATCTTTTCTGTATTGCTAATCTAACAGTAAAATACAGTTTATTTTTTGTGTGTTTATTATTCTTTTAACAGCAAAAAAGAAAGAGGGACTCTAGCAGTGGAGAGAAAAAAAGGACTGAGTGCTTAATATGCACTGACAAAGCAATATAGTTTATTTAAAAACCAGTCTCCTGTCATGCTGAGTTCACAGGAATATAATGTCAAAATCCCAAGAAGTGATCCCATCATATACTGCATTTGGCACTGTTGAGAAAGAATCCACAATTGTACACGCAAAGAGGCATCAGTTATGGGAGAGGGACTGAAACATTAGAATGTTTCCCCAGAGAAGAGGGCCCAGGATGGTGAAAGATCTAGAAATTATGCCATAGGAGTTAACAGCTGGGGAGAGGGATGAGCAGAGGGCTTAGGGTGGAGAAAGATGGAAAGGGTTATTTCATGCAAGAGGGCTTACTGCATGTACCTCCAGAGGGAAAAGCTAAGATTGGTGAGTAAAAGTTACAAAGAGGTTTCTGCCCATGGCTTTCTAACAAGCATATCTTCCACTGTAACAAGCAGCTTGTTCTACATCACAGGAGGCAATCAACCTAGAGAAGGAAGGTAAGCTAGACGAACTTGAAGCCTACCTCCAACTCCAAAATTCTGCCATTTTCTTGAATCTCAAATCTGTTGGCTATTTTTAGAGCTTAAATACCAATGTTTAGTTTAAATAATCCACCATCAATAAAAAAACAAGTGACTTTTTTTGCAGTTTTTCAATCTGCAAACATCTGCGGTCTCCATTCAGAAATTCAAACCTGTGTTCTGTTAATACATCACACAGTGACTCAACCTTTGTTTGATTATATTTTAGAGGCAAAGTAAGAAATGCTTTGCTTCAAATTACACACTTTTACCCTCATTTCTTGGCTGTAAACTGCATAAAAATTTCCCATGCTATTTCAATTTCACCATGCATTTTTATAAAAGAGAAATAGTATCATGTGACATATTATCATATGCAGTTCCCGATACAGAAAGAGGGTGACCACAGGCTTAACCTTAGAGAAGCTGTGTCTGTGTCTGTCTCCATTTTCATTAGTGAAATTGGATTCTACAGAGTTAAGCTCATTTCAAAGGACCCAACACTCTTAGATGCACCTTCCAAAATAAAATGCTGCTCGTGAGAAAGATCTGGAAAGCAAACAGTAAAACTTACTTAGCAACATTCCAAAGAGCTGAAATTCAAAGATTTTCAGAAAAACACTTGTGGAAATAAATGCAATTGATTTTTAGCTACTTGTTCCCTCAGGGAAGCTGAGATGATTGTCAACTTGCATAGATGGTGCTTGAAGTCTAAGAAATCTCTCAGGAATCCAAATCAGCCAGGCCCTTCCGGAATATAATGCCTACTGAATTTACTGAGTGCTTACCGTCTGCCAAGCACTGCAGATACTGAAGGCTCTTGTTCCAATTGGCACAACTCCTGCCCTCCTAAGGAATCAATACTATTGTTATCCTAGGCAAACTAAAGTGAGTTTAAGCAATCTGAGCATTGATGATAAACAAGGAGCCAGAGCTGAAACACTTCATGTTGCCTGTCTCCAGTGCCCATTCTCTGCCATATCCAGTGTCCTGCCCAGCACCTCCAATCCAACCATTCTAAATCAGGAGCTGCCCCAACCCACTACACCACTTGCAGCGAAGCCAAGGGTGGTAGAAAAGGAAGGTAGGAGCTAAAACAACTTACTTTATCAGTGCTTAGCAAAACTACGATAAAAGAGCAGTGTCTATACCCACACAACAAAGTCTAACTCTGACTCTGTTACATTTTCACTCTGGCAGGCAGACATTTCTGAAAGCAATGAGTTCTGACAAGCTCTGCTAGAAAAACTACTTGGTGGAATGTTGGCTGTTTGCATACAAACTAGCATCAAAGAAATTCTTTTGAAATATGCTAGGACAGTGAAAAATAGGGAAGATACTTTGCAGAATCAGCAAATATCAACCTGTGGGTAAAATACAGGCATGCAGAGGTAACTCTTAATTTACTCTTTAGCCAGACACTAGTTTAGCAAAAAATAAAATCAAAATTCCAGCACTGCCTCAACTCATATTTGAGCCACCTAGATAGTCACAAATCCTCAAGAGTTCAGAGTTGATTATGAGAAAAAAGCCTTCAAAGCCTATTTCCGGTCACCAACTATCCACCACTTTACCCATGGGGTATGCCAGACATTGGTGCACTGGCACAGGGATGATCAGACAACAGCAGCCACAGGGGTTAGGAGACTGGGCTGAGGTCCAGCACAGCCCTTCATTTGCCCACTGTCACAACACAACGCCTGGCAGTGCTGGCCAGAGGTGAGGATGGTGGTGAGCATACCAGGTGGATTTTTCTCCTTGTTCTCCCACTTCCTCCAATCCTAGTCTTATCTCTATTCTCATCCTACAGAGCTACCACTGGTCTATGAGAAGAAAGGCAGGGAAGGAGAAAGAAAGAAAATGAGGAGTGAATTTAGTACTTCACAGCACATCCAACAACTTGGTCCCAAAGGGAAGGTACGGGAACCTACACTCAATAAGGAAGCCCAGAGGCAGAGCTGGCAGTCTGAAGTCACAGGCTTCTTGGCAACACTTAAGAGACATGACCAGCACTTACCTGACTGCTGAAGGACTCTTTCTTGGATGAGCTCTGAGCTGGAGGGGGTCCTTGGGCAGGCGACAACCTGGAGGGGCTCTTCTTACTCTGAGGCAGCAGTGAGGACAAGAAGCCTACTCGAGGCGACTGGGAGAGGTAGGCAGTCCTCTGGCTGCACACCATGGCCCTGGTCAGGGGACACAGCACAGGATCACAGCACTGGAGGGGATGAGGAGGAGATGAGAACACAGAGCTCCTGAGCTAAGGAGAGGCTTTGGAGGGGGACCTTAGCCAGGTTCTGCAGCCTGGGTTGGAAGGACATTGTGCTTTGCACCACTTCCTGTACAAAGGGGACCAGCGGCTTATCTGGTCCAACAGTAAAGTCTGTGGCTCTTTGAGGGCCCCAAGAGAGCTCAGAACCACATTATATAAGAGCCACTGACCACATGGGCCACTGAGGACCTGAACTATAGTTAATCCAAACTGAGAGGTGCTGGAAGTACAAGACACACTGGCTTGTCATTAAAAAGGTATAAAACATGTGGAAATAGTTTGGACATACTGAACTAAGTAAATATGATTAAAACTTATTTTGTTTTACTGTTTTTTAACAAACCTATTAAAAACTTTAAATAACCATCTTTGCCCGGTACTATATTTTATTTTCACTGGGTGGCACTGGCTGAGAAACTAGAGCCACTTCATATGGTGCAATACTTGGCTATCCCTGGGTTTATACCCTGCCTCACCATTCACAAACTGTGTCACCTGACTGTGCTGCTGGTTCTTCAATTGCTGCTATTAGGACTGTTATCCCTTGGGCTTCTGTGTTAACAACGTTTTGTTTGATTGTTTCTGCTGTCTGTTGTTTCTACAGTTTGTCTGTCTGTTTGTTTGTTTCTTTTTTAAAGTGCTGGGGATCTGACCCAGGGCCTCTCACATGCTAGGCAAGCACTGCAGCACTGAGCTACAACCCAGCCTTACCTGTCTGCTTCTTAAGGTCACTCAAATACCTCTCTCTAAATTCTGCCTTCCTCTTTAAACACTCAGTAGCCAATCCTTCCACATTGAAATGCTCCTTCCAATACATGAAACCTTACCATCACGGCTGGGTTGTACTGATTCAATTTAAGCACATCTGGATATGCAAGGTCCTGGCAGAACAGGTTAAAAACAAAAAAGCATGACCTTGGTGGCCACAGGGACCTCATTCACAAAATTGTGAAGCAAGAGCAGGTGTGCCAGGGGCTCTTTGGCAATTCTACCCAAAAGGCACAAAGGCCACAAGCAAGGCAGGGTCAGAGGGATGCTCAGGGCACAAAGGACAGAGGAGAGGAAGAAGCAGCCACCTTCCCAGAGCCCAGCCTTCACACACACTCACAGCTCAGAGTCCCCCAGGCGGTCCATACTGGAGACGTAAGGAGGCAATTTGTGTTGGACCAAGGCCTCTTCCTCTTCAGGCTGTTGCTCTTCCTTCTTCAGCTGGTGGATTTCAGCTTGCAAGGCAAAAAGCTGCGAAGGGCAGAGCTGAGTCAGCCAATGATCCCACCCCACCATCCCTCTGCTGAGCAAGATTTCTAGACACTCCACATCTAAACCCAACCTCACTGGCTCCAGGTGCCACTCCCCCTCAACATCAAGGTGTCCTTTGCATTTCTGCTCATTGTACCTCAGAGAAAAACTGAAGAGCAACTGCTGGTCCTGGATTGCAGTGAGGTATGAAAGCCAAAAACCGTTGAGACACCTAAAGCCCACTTTCTCTTTTTATCATTTGACATGCTTCCTTTTCACCATTTGACTTGCTTCTTCCTGAATTCACTGAGCAAAAGAGCTCCACCCAATCCTATTTTGCTCTTTGGAATCTACAAAATCAGGATTTGGAACTCACACAGGCAAAAAAATTAAATGAATTATGGCACCTTTACCTTTTGCCTCAAGAAAACTAAGCATACACACATCACCCAAAATCCAGGAATTTTAAACCTCAAAGCCTAAACAGCTTCTAAGGTTCCTTAACAATATATTAGTTCCTTAACTAATACAGATCTTCATTTCAGGACAGGGAAATAAATGCTCCTCAGGCTAAATGTAAAGGCAAACATGGGTCCCCTGGCTCTACTGTTTTATTGAAGAAGAGAAATATGTAGCTGAGTAGGAACAACTAAATTATACCTGGGTAGTAAACATTATGTATGGGTTATATATGGAAAAAGCCCAGGATGACAAAATGACATATGAAAACAGAAGAATTGCAAGCTGGTGTGAATACATACAGTCATCTTCTTAACAAGTTCATTCCCATTATTATACTGCTTAGGTTGCATACATGATTTAAAATATGAATCTCACCTCTGGTTACCATAGGCTGATACAGCCCTAAACCCTCAATGCTGACTGATGACTCGCTCTCATCTAAAAACAGTTCAGCTCTTTATGCAATCAGCCCTTGAGTGTCAAGACCTAATTTCACACCCACAAAGCAAAGTCCTCCCAAGGAGCGAGCTTGTGCAGCACAAACCTTCTGACGAAGAATTTCATTTTCTTCTTGAATCTGGTTGGTCCTCTGGCACTCTGCATCAAAGTTCAAGATCACAGGAACTGGTACACAAAGTTAAAGAATAAGCCTGCTTGGGAACATCTGAACGCTCTTGATATAGTAGCCAAACACTTGAATACAAGAAACAGGAAAGAGAGTACACAGTGTTGTGGGCTTGTTCCAGCTCTATAAACTGGTCTCAGGGCCCTATTTTGTTTGGACACAGAGACACATAAAAATCTGTTTAGAGAGGACATAAATCCAATCCTGGCATTTCCCCCCAAACCCCAGCAGTAAGAGCTAGTATTCAGTGGGCTTCCTAGCCAGTCCAAGCTTTAGCAAGATCAAGGCCTACACTCAGCAGAAAGCAACCCTGGAAGCAGGATCGGTACTAGGCTTTCCCCTCAACACTGAACCTCTCCACAGCCAAGGTTTAGATTGAGAAGAGAGAGCACTATTAAGACTGCGTGGTCACATGCCACCTCAAAAACACCTACATTCTAGCTGAGGGTGCTGGCCTTTTGTCTTTCCCAATCACTCACACAGCTTCAGTCAGGAGGAGGGCAGAGTAGATGGCCCCAGACTCCAAATGTGCATATGTTAGTTTGGTTTTTGGTTTTTGTTTTGTTTTGTTTTTTGGTACCAAGGATCAAACTTGGGTCCTTGTGCTTGCGAGGCAGGCAGCAGAACCACTGAGCTAAATCCCCAGCCCTGCATACATTAGTTTGATTGGCAATATCTTGGCCGCAAAAATCTTGAGTGACCATTTCTATTGCCTTGGAGGGTCCATATGGCCATGTGTAGTCACCCTACTAATTTCTTTGACAGTCTACAGGAAGAAGAGGCAGCTGGCAAGAAGAGAGAAAGAAGAGAAAGACCTGGCAAGACACATAAGGAAAGACCAAAGTGAGGAACCTCCCAGAAAATGGTTCTTTCAGAGGTCAAAACGGCAGCCATTGGGTGGGGATCTCAACACCCAAATTTATCAGTGCCGCAACAGGCAGCCCCATTCAAAACAGACTGCCTTCTCCTCCCCTAGCTTTCCAGCCTTGAGAGCATGAGAAATGAAGCATTCAAGGGCCTCAGGGTCTCAGGCCTTCCATGACAAAATGGTACACCTGCTAGGATGTGAGTCATTTATTTCTCATTCATTCTCATACCCCACCATGAGCACATGCACACATGTGCAGGCACGCATGCACACACACACACACACACACGCACACAAAACCACTGTTTTCTGGCAAACTGAGGAACAATGAAGTCACTGTCAGAGGGAATAATCCAAACACTAACTCAGGCAGAAAGCCCCAATCCAAGAAGTGTTCTCATCTGCTAAAGAATCCCAACAAAAGCAAGTAATATCCCCAGGGACTCGTGACATGTACAGAAAGAGTGCTTTCAAGTCTGGCTGGTTTCACCAAGAAGTAGCTGCCTTCCAACCCTACTGCTGCTGTTGTCCTCTCCATGTGTGCAAGCTATTTCTTGAAGCAACACAGCACCAGAATTAAGATTTATGACTTCTTGGCCTCCTAACAAAACAATTTGTCCAGCCCCCTCACATGTTACAAGTCAAGGATCCTTTGGCACTTTGTGGAAGAAATGGCTGCACTGAAATCTGTAACTTTTAGCAGCTACTGATCATGTTGTCTAAAGGCCTCAGACAGGGCCCAGACAATATGCCTGGAAAGGATATGCATGCATTGAAACAGGACACTCAGGAAGTTGTGCAGGGACACAATGAAGGTGTCAGCCCACTGTCGAGAAAAGTAGGTAGCGAAGGTGGGGTTGGTATCTGGGGATGGCAAGAAGGGCAGGACAAACCAATCCTTCCACTCTGCCTGGTTCTGGAGCTCTGTGGCCTGCTTTGCAAAGAACTCCTGAGCTTTGTCATTTCTGTTTGTCTGCCAAGACACAAAGGAGGCAGCAAGGAGGAAGAAGAAACAGAAGTTCAGAGGTGAGATTCTCCATCATGGCCCAGCAGAGAGCCTCTGATATCACCTGCCAGGTAACTGACAAAGTGGGTTCTATAAATACCATGATATGAAGGGAATCATCATCAACTTTTCCAAAGACCTTGTGATTTCAAGCTTCAGTGGTTTAAATTTAAGTGGTTTAAGATTTAAAGATAAATACCAGGGCCCGGGATTTAGCTCAGTGGCACCACCACCTGCCTTGCAAGCAGGAGGTCCCGAGTTTGATCCCCGGTGCCAAAAAAAAAAAAAAAAAAGATAAATACCATCCTGAAAACTGATCCCTAGTTGATGTTCAAATAACCTTAACCTAAGTGACTTATTCACCAAGTCACCTAATCTTTATTACTCAATCTTTATATTCCTTAGAACACCACCTAGGCTTATGGCTTAAAACAAAAGGGGAAGCCAGGGATTTAGCTCAGCGGTGTCACACCTGCCTGGAAAGCACAAGGTCCTGAGTTCAATCCCTGCTACTGCAAAAAATAACAAACAAGAGGGGAAATGGGAATGGGAAAAATAAGTCAGATGATCTGCAAATGATGAAAAGGAAACAAAATGTTTGAAAACAGTTAAAAATAATTTCCACTGTGGCTGTTGCACTCATTCCCATAGTAAGATATAGAATCAACCTGAGGGACTGGAAGAAACATCTATTCCTGGATCAAAAAGCTCTTCCCACCAGGGAAACAAAACCCCTGCATCAACAAACACCTGGATTGTGTAGACAAGATAAAAGCGGAACAGGCTGGTTTTCAACTTATTGATGGTGGGTCTATATATATCCTCCAAGCGGCTGAAGAGTCTACGCTCCAGGTAGCTCCAATAATCCCGAAGGGCAGCCAAGTCATACACTTGCATTAACTGCTGTAGCTGGTCCACAATTTTGTCCACCTGGTGAGAGAAAGCATCGCTGGAGAAGGTGGTGAAGGACAGAAGGGCATTCTGCCCTCACTCTTCAGAATACAGATTTGTCCTCTTACTATGGCATCTGGATGCTAAAAAATTGTAAGCTCATAATCTACAAATTTTTCAAACTTATTAATGTAACAACTTTTAAATTATTTTCAGATGTTAAATATATGTCTTAACCCCCTGGCAAGTATTGAATTTCAGGTGTACAAAAGACTCAGGCCCAGGAAACAAGAAATCTGGATCCACATCTTGAGCCAAATTGAACAACTTAGCAAAATCACTTCAACTGTGGTCACAGTGGCCTTTCAATTTAAAAAGGGGAAGCAGAAAGAGAGCATGATACAATCTTCTCAGTCACTCCTCCCAGCTCCACAATTCTAGGATTCCAAGGGTCACCAGGAGGTACACAGACTGACCCCTGCAAAACACCAAAGTCTCACCTTTGACTACAGTCAGCCAAAGTAGTCACCTCCTTGTGACGAGCAATTTCACCACAATCTAGAAAAAGTCCTGGATATCAACGTCAATTCAACCCCATTTTAAAAGTAGATTAGCAGGCACGGAGCCTGGAGAGGTGAAATGATTTGCTTTTGCCATTAGGTAACCACTAACTACGGCAAGGCAAAAGCCCAGGCTCCTACCTCCCCTCCAGTTCTCTTGCAGCTAAGTGGTCACTGTCTCTCTCGATTCATCTGCCACCACCAATTTAACTCAGCACAGAGAAACGTACAAATGACACACTCAAAAGTTCCAAGAACCTCGAAATGGAAAATGGTATCTGAGCAGAGAAAGATTGTGTTTTTAAATGTGCAATGAAGTCTCCCTTAACTGCAGAAGCAAAAGTATCTGCGAGTCCCTGACAAAAGACCATTTTAACAAAACACCACAGACATTTGAATCTGGCCAGCGTTTGAGGCTGCAGACCTCTTTGCTACCACTGCCGTCAGAAGCCAATCCTTGACATCTCGCTTGCAAGAACTTAACCATCTACCCATCCCTGGCTCCTAAACCTGCTCGCCCCGTGGCCAACTAAGCCCAGCGCCTGCGGGAGTGGGATGGAGAAAGAAGCCTGGACCAGGTCAGGGCGAAGGGCCCCGGAGCTCATGTCTCTCTGGGTAACTCCAGGCAGTCACATCAGTGTCGCGCTTCTGTTCCTCTCAGTCAAGCGCAGGCCAAACGCGCGACGTTACGACCCCTACTGCACGGTGACGGCGCCGCTGTCGCCCCCGAGGCGGCGCTGCGAGGTGCAGGGGGAGAGGCCCGCCCCCGGCCGCCTCAGCCCGCCGCCCGCCCTGCGCCTCACCCGGAAGCCCTTTTCCCTGTCCGCCTTGATCTCGGCGTCGAGCTGCCGCAGAGTGTGCGTGAAGCCGCGGAAGAGCAGGTACTCGCGGACCAGCTCGTCGGTGCGCTCCACACCCTCCGCCATCGCTGCGCCTGCGACTTGATGGCAACACCGAGGACGGAGGGGCGGGGCCTGGGCAGGCAGGGGCGGAGCCGGACGGAGGCGCTGGGGGGGACGTCACGCCCACGACCAGCCTGCGGGTCAGCACGCCTCGGGGGCCGCTCGCCTGTGGCTCCGCCCCTCACCTCGCCTCCAGAGCCGCCCAGCGCCCTGACGTCATCTCCCTCCTGTAGCTGCTCCTACAAGCGGCTACGCGCTTCTCGCGGGCTGCGGCTTAGTCATCTGAGTTGCAGAGTCACGAGGTGGCTGGGGGATGAGGTCCCCTGCTTACAGACATTAATTCATCAGGAGACGCTTTAACCGCTGTCCTTTTTTTTACAAAAGGGGGAAGCTGGAATCCGGGTGACAAAGAGAAGTCACCCGGCCAACTGTGTCATCTGAAAGCGGTAACTGCTCGAAAGCCCCGCTTTCATCTGTAAAACTGGTTAACTGCACGGCCGGCCGGGTGCTTCTAGGGGAAAAGGCAAGTTACAGAACAGTATGTACAGTGTGGTCCCGGTTTCTCAAAAAGACTGTGTTTATGTTTACATTTTTCAAATTCAAGGAGACTATACATCAGATTCTTACAGTTGTTTGAGGTGAAACAAAGAGTTTCAGTTCTTTTTCGTGCATTTTTTAATCATTTGAAGTTTTTACAAAGTAGATAATATCTTTGAGCCTTTATCTGTGAAATGATAATAACACCTACCTTGCAGGTTTATAATGAAAACTGGATAAGATAATGCATGGAAACAGCCCCATGAATCATCCATTGATATGATAAATGTTTTGCCTTTTTCTTCTCTTTAATGGTGTGGCATTTTGTATTTGTCAAAAATGCACCTCAAACATTAACTACCCTTAGGCTTAGACCCTCCAATCCTCCTATACAGAAATTCAGCTCCAAAGGGTTCTGGTCTGTGTTAGGGAAACCCAAAGAGATAACAAAGAGCAAGCCACCACAAGACAAGGGAGATGCTGGTTTTGCCTCTGTCCGGTTTTCACAGTGTATCTCCCAGGCAGCCTGGCTCCTAAGGGACGGGAAAGGAGGGTCTCAGCTGTACTATTGGGAGAGCCAGACCACATCCTGCCTTGGGATCTCAGAAGTGAACTCAGGAAATTTGTACAAACAGCAATCTACAGAAAGGTAGGGAATTAGATCTCCTTAGGGCACTTGAAGTCTGCAACCACAGTTCTCCCTTCCCTCTCCTCTGTATGCCCTGGAACTTTCCAGACCAAACAAAGCCTGCAAAACTAGCTGAGTTTGCTGATCAATGAAAGGCAGCTCATCAGTCCTAGCACAAGCTCTTTCCTCTACCTGGAACATCTTCCTCCAGATACTCACATGCTTAGCTGCCTGTCCTCCTTCAAGTGTTTGTCAAATGCCCTTAGTCTTTCGGGGTTGCTACAACAAAATCCCATAAGCTAGGGAGCTTACAAGGAACAGAGACTCACTTCTCACAGTTCTGAAGCCTGGAAAGTTACCAAATCAGTCAACTTGGAGTCAGGTCATTTAGGTGAATAAGGACACTTTATCCATCCTCCTGAAGAATATTGGACTCTAACCAAGCAAGTCTCAGAGCATTCTGCCTGGAACAGGGAGCAACCAGCTTAACTCTGGGCAGCCAAAGGTAACAGGTAACAAGCAAGAAAATGAAACTATTGCAAGGCAAGTGCAGTGCCACTGAGCTAAATCCCCAGCCCTTCTACCTCTGATCTTGATGCTTTGGTCTGCCCTCTGTGGACCTGCATTTCTTTTCATCAAATCCTGACTCTGCCCATGGTTTTCCTTGTGAAGTCCTACTATCCCTTAGACTCAACCTAACCATCTATGGTCTTTATCACTCCAGTAGTGGTTTGGTGACTCGCCCTCTATTCAGGTAGCATCACACCCTTTAGCTACTAATCACCTTGCTTCCTGTCTTATCTCCTTGATCATAAACTACTGAGAGTACAGACCCATGCTCCCTAGTGCCTAGCACATTACCTTGAAAGTAGAAGGACACTTGATAGCTATTTGTTAAATGACTGAGTGAAGTTCTCGGTACTGTACTGTATTGTATTGTACTGCCTGGAACTCCAAGTTATGCATATGCCTCCTACAGAGATTCTGTGGCCAGTTTGGGAATGTAAATCTTACTGCAATCAGTACCATAAAAATTTAATAAGCACCTCTGAAGACTGGTTACCCACCATGACCCACCCAGCCCTCAGGCAGCCAGTGTCTTGGTGCTTATCTCACTGAAAAGCAGTGACATAAAATAGATGCACTTTTTGCCTATAATTTAGTAGTTTTAAAAAATGTATTGCCCAGAGGAAGCTCCCCGCCTCCATCCCAGGCTCCTAGGGCAGAGAAGCTCAGCCAGTCCCAGCACCCGGAAGGAAGCTCCCCTGCTGCCATCCCAAACTCCTAGGGCACAGAAGGTGAGCCTCGTGGGTGCCAGAAGCAACCCCCCCCGCCCCCCTGTGGAAATGAGAAGACACATAAACAAGCCTCAAAAACAGACTTCCAGATCACCTACAGCAACCCCAAAGGGAAACAA